GGAGATGGCAGATAGTGATCTCAATTATAAACGAATATCTAGATCCACTTTTGCAAAATGTTTTGCTTTAGTTAATAAACAAAATATGTCGTCAAAAATGGCGGATATTTTATTGGAGAAATTGGTAAGATATTTAATAGCTCCCAACAAGACAAGATGGAATTCTTATTACCAATGCATGAAATTAATAGATAAGATGCTTTTTGAAAAGTTTTCAGAAGTAGAACAAGTATGTGATCAAATTGGATTTGCAATGTTAGAGGAATGTTTTTTTGTTAAAGAGTATGCAACAATAATACAATGATATTCTCTAAATAAATTTAAATTTTATAGGTTATGGAACCTTTGGCGATCTCGTTAAAAATCTTGGAACGAAAAGATAATATGGAGCAGGGATATCTAACTCCCGTTCCATCGATATTGATAGATAAATTAACGAAATTTAGCTGCCTGCGGTATTGTCAACCCCTTGTAGATAGTGTTCTTAGAGGTATTGATAAAAGGTAATATTTTTTTATGCAATTATTTATATTATCAGATATCTGCAATATTAAAAAATTGCAAAGATCTGGCAAATTTAGTAAAATATTTTTAACAGGCCAGTTTTACTAAACCTCTGATATCTAGTAAAATATTAATGGGGCTTTGAAGATATTAAAAATTTATTAGATTATTTGAATATTAAGCTAATATTTTGATTAATATTCTTTGTAAATAAATTACAATGTTAATTTCTTTGTATATTAAGTATTAAGTTTACATTTAATCAATATTTATGATATGACCCAAATATAAATAAATACCATACAGATGATGTGCCAGACTTGACTGTAAAATTTAAAAGGGTTAAGTTTTTCAGATACTTGATTTGATTTATATGAATAAATTCACTTATTTAATAATAAATTAATTATCATTTCATAATATAGATTTCCTTCACTGTATGAAGACAGTAACATTTTGGCAGCCATGATTCACCCTAAATTTAAACTTAATTGGCCTTATATTAATCTGCCATAAAATATGATGGTAAAAGAAAGATTAATTGCCCATTTGGAAAATATGCAGGAACAACCATATGCGGATACCTCAAATGAATGTATGGATGACATTGATACTTTTTTTGGGAAAAATACTGTACAAAATGCTTGTTCCGTTAAAAAATTTTTTTATTCAAATGATGATTCCATGAATATTTTTAATACTTATATTAATTTAAAAAAAATTGAATATAATACACCTTTGCCATCAAGCGCTCCTGTGGAGCGCTTGTTTAGTAAAGCTAAACATGTTCTAAATGAAAGACGCGGATGTTTAAATGATGATAATTTAGAAAAAATTTTATTATTAAAAGCTAATTTTAATTATAAATAAATATATTATAATTGTTATATTTATTATTCAATTACAATAAATTTCTACCATATTTAATTTATTTTTATATTAGTTAATTTTGCATCGGTCAGAAATTTCCTTCAGAAATTTAAATAGAAAAAAAGATCGTGATCGCGATATTTTTTTCAAAAAAAGGTCGATCCTGGATTTCGATCCTCTTTTTTTGAAAAGATCGTGATCGGGATTCGATCGTTTTAAAAAGATCGGTGAACAAGCCTGATCATTATAATAAAAATAACTTTAATGTCTAATTTTTCTACAAATATACAAAATCTCATTGTATTATCATAATTAAAAATAACTATTAATGTCAAATTTTTCTACAAATAAACAGAATTTCTCATTGTATCATCAAAGATAAAAATAACTATTAATATACATGTCTAATTTTCCTACAAATATACAATTTTCTCATTCATAGGCGTAGCCAGGATTTTCTCAAGGGGTGGGAGGGGTTTAAAAAATTTCTCGGGCATTCGGACGGGTTACCTCAGTCTATATATAGTCATAAAATATTTTTACAAAAGAGGAGGTTATTTTAAATAAAAAAAAAATAAGCCTGGAACAAATATGAAATATATTTTTATTAGTTTATATAAAATATAATAAATTATTGTGTACACATTAATATAAAAGCATGGTAATAATTATTCCAAACAAGTATAAGAAATTTATTTATAAAAAGTAAGTAGACATATAGTTGATATTCCTAAATTATACAGAATTGGTTACAAAATACTAATAAAATTCCACTTTTACAGACATATTTGACAGTTAGAGAATATATTACAGTTAATAATTTAACAAAATTTACTAATTAATGCTCTTGATAATAGCAACAATTTGCATATATTAAAAAATAATCTTCATATTATTCATCCCACAATGTCTTTAAAGGTTTTCTGATGTCCTTATCAATATTTTATAGTTTTCTGTAAAATATATAATCCGCTATATTGGTAAAAGTTATTTGATTGTCATATGATAATTGATTAAATTAGATATACTGTAAATCTACAACATATAATATTCCACTGTTTTTATTGTGCTTTCATTTTTATTTAATTTATGATATAATTATATCAATAGTTTTATAATTATATTTTACTTTTATTAAAATAAATAAATTAAAATTACTCACTTTATAATAAATTTTATTTGATTATATTATTTAGTAATTTTATAGATCTATTATTAATAATTTAAATACATTTCACTTTTGTCTTAAGACTTATCCTTGGCATATATTCCATTTCTTTAAAAACATTTTTAGTTCACTTTTTTTATATATAAATGCTTTTTTTCAAAAATGTATAAATTATGATGAATAGTTTTATAAAAGAATATCAACTTTTGCATTCTTTCTTTCTTTCTTAAAAATTACTGTTTAAGATATATGCATACATTTTTGGGGGTCAGGGAGTGGGGGGAAGATTAAGGGGTATATTTTTTATTAGCTTAGAATGGTATTCAAAATTCCTGAAGGGGGGGAGGGAATTTCTCCTTGCCCTCATCCCCTTGGCTACGCCGATGTTCTCATTGCATCATTTAATACTCAAAAACAAAGATGTGAACCATCCTTCTTAAAAAATGGGTTCGGGTGGTTTGGGTTCAGTGAAAAATCTCTGACCCGGATCGGGTTTAGGGTTCGGAGACCAGAAAAATAATAACTTATATAAATTAGCTAAAATAACAGAAACATCATTTTTTTAAATTTATTTATTGGCATAAAAATAATTTATCATCATTATTATAATATATTCGTGATTTTGTACTTCTCTTTGTCTTACTATAAATTTAATAATCCATAAACAACCTAAACAACATTATCCTAAAATAGATATTATTTTATATTATTATCATTTATAAAAAAACTTTAAAAATCTGCTTTGCTGGGTAAAATTTAAAAATTTCTACGAAAAATGACCGACTCTTAAATATAACAAAAATAATTCCACGAAAAAATGATCAAAAAATGTTTTTTAAAATTAGTATTAATTGTTTAAATAGGAACTCTTTCTAAATAGGAAATTTCTTATAAATGAAATTTGTAAATTACATGTTTTTTATATATTATTTTTATCATATAATTTAAAATAAATGAAATGAAAGTTTAAAATAAAAAAATACATTTTTTAAAAATTAAAATTTTTTTTAAAAAAAGCTTAGATCCTGAACCCTAAGTTTTAAACAAGGGTTTGGGTTCCGCAAAATATCGAGGGTTCGGGTTCTCACCCCTGTTTAAAAACAATAAGTAATTTACATTTTAAAAACAAAACAATTTATGTATATAAAATATGTAACAAACTCTCAACAAGAATTAAATCTCAATGTATATTAAGTAGAGTTAGTGCATTCAATCGATTTCAAAATGTACCTTTGAGATATTTTATTATTCTCCGTAATGAAGAAAATATTTTTATTTTTGCTTGTATTAATTGGTATTATTGCCAAAATATACATAAATTTTTCGTATATTTGGAAAAAACTTCAAAATATATCCTTAAGTGAGCATTGAACCTATTGTATCTAAAGATTATCAACTAAAATTAATCTACACCGAGATTTAAATTCTGGAATTAATAGACTCTCAGTTATATTACAAAATTTAGCGAATTTAATATTTTCAATATGAATATTTAATATATCCTCAGAAGGATTTTAAGTAATTTTATTTGTAAACTGGATGTAAGCATTTGATAAATCACAAATGATTTATTGATTTGAGTCATAAATGTATCCAAAAATGTAATAACAACGGTCATTTTATAGTAATCCGCAACTGAATCCACGTTGATGATAAAATCATTTGTTTGTCAAGGTGCAAATCTAAGCTTGCGAATCTCAAAATAATATAATTTTGATTTCGCCTCAACAATCTGAAATAATCGATAATATCTCTTAATTTTCTTGGTAAAATAATAATATTCGCTCATAGCATTCAATATATATTATTTTTTGAAAAATATTTCATAAAATTGCTATGCAATTAAATAATTATTAATTAGCTGTCATATTCAAAATATGTATCTGTTTTAGACGGAATATCTCTTTCAGGCCATACTAATATATCCTCACTGCTTTTCAAAATAGGCTCTTCTATATCCAAAAGTGAGTAACAGATTGATTTCGAATGCTTTATCTTATTGAACAGACATTTCGCAGTTTCTTTATTTATGTAGCACAAGAAGTCTCATTTTATTGAGCAAATTCTGTCTCTTTGGACATCTGAATATGTTGTACACTCTAGAAATGTTGCCTAATCATAGTTATTATTAGAGATAAATTAATTTAAAATATTTTCGGTTGACAGAATTATCTAGTATACATCAGGTTTAAAAAATATGTGATAATTGACAAAATGTTTTCGGGAGAGAAGAAATATTTAAATTAATTGTAACTTTTTGCTAAAATTTAAAATAGATTATTACCTTTTTGAAATAGAATACTTTGCAATCAAGATTTTAGAAAAACCAATATTTTTTTAAAAATTTTTACCAAGGAAGGGATTACTTCTTCTATGTGAACAAGTATTTAAGAAAATATTTGGAAGCTGCTTGATGGGTAATGTTTAGCACTCGTCATTGATATTTTTGCTTACTCTTTATTGTTCGGTAATTTAAAAAGTTATGAGTGAATGTAAAGAGTGCCATTTAAATGATATTACTGTTGAAAACCGATTGAAAATATGCAAAAACTGTGGCAACATAATTAGTCAGCAAGATGAATTTTATGAACTGGCCGAAGGTATGCTTTGAACGATTACCTTTCTATACATTTTTTAAATAGGGTTTAAGGAGAATTACCTGCCAAATTCTAATCTTTTAAAATCAAATCTTATTAGCACATATGAAAAAGATTTTATTCGCATTAAAAATGAATTAAAATTAAATCAAAATATTATTGACGAAATAAAAACCCTCTATGTTGAAATTCATGATAAATCATATAAATACTCCCGTCATAAATTCAAAAGATTATTATTAGCAATATGCACGTAATCATTACTTTATTTTAATTAAAAATATAGTTTAACATCTACCGATCAAGGGGGCATTATTTAGAATATCATTTTATTTTCTCTATGATTTTACTAATTATAAATTTATTATTTTTTAGATACCACATACTTAAGAAACTAAATTACTCAACAAGGGTTACACAGGTGTGTCTAATTTTAGAGACTTCCCATAAACCTTTTTTTAGAAATTATATGAAAATTAAATTGCAGTTCCCTCATCTATCAGTTGACACAAAAGATATTCTGCCAGAAACTCACCTGCAATCCTTTATCAAACCTATAATTCTAAAATTTAAATATGGTTATTAATATTTTATATATTTTATATATTTTCTGTTATTGTTTAGATTCTATATGTGAGGCAAATATAATCAAACTAGTCAGCATCTACAAAGAGATGTACAATGCTTCTGGAAATCAAGATTTGTATGCCGCTGCATTTTACATAGTCTGGAAAAGTACAATATATAAAAGCAAAAATATTGATCATGATTGCAAGTTTTTATCAACTCCTTTCAATATATTTCACCACTTAAATACCAAAAAAAAATGTGATAAGGCTTTTAGCAGGATTGAACTAGAACACTTTTGTAATGAACATGGATTTAATTTTATTAATAGTAAAAAAATGGTTTACCTCAACCAAATATTAGATATATTGAGAATATTGGCTCAAAATATTCCATGGCTTACTAGATTTGAAAATGTTAATCCTGTTGAATTGAACAAAACAACTAATATTTTACATAAACAGAATATCTCCAACCTGCATTACATTTACTATTCCTTAAATACTCTCCTGAACTTCTATGATGTTACTCACATACACACATTATTTGCCAAACATAATTCAAATTACAATATTTCCACCATTGTAAAAGTTGCCAAACAAAATTTAGATATACATCCTATAACAAGTTTTGAAGAATTTAGTTATTGTCCTCCAGATTCTCAACCTTTAGGTGAGATTGATATCCCAGATGAAGAAATGCATCTATATATAAAATAAAACATTCATCAATTAAATTTGATATCATAATTTATACCTCCAATATTTTAGCTAAAATATTATGCAAGCCTCGAGATATCGTTAATAGTTGTTCGAATATTTCTGCCATCTATGAGTCTCCAGACTTGCATAATATTGGGCTAAAATATTTGGTTAGCCATTTTTAAAAATTGAGTGGTTTAACAATATTAAATATTTTTATCTCAACTAAAATAAATTTATTCCAAAAGTTAGAAAATTATAATTAATAATAGTAACACTCAGGCTAATATTTTAATATTTAGCAGAGTTAGGCCTTATTTATAGTAAACGCGTTAAAAAGCGTTTAGTTATTTAAGGCTATCGACACAGCTGATTCTTTATAACGTTAATAATTTATGAAATATATGTTGCAACATATTCTATCATTGCGTTATTAATGATATATTATATTACCTATAATGATAGAAATACTAAAAAGCTTCCTCAATTCATTAAATTGTGAAACTATAAAATCTACAATTTATTGATATATTTTTTATTCCTCACATTGGAAATTTTTTGGAATCATCACATTCACACCAGATATGATATATTTGAATATTTAAAAAATATAATATACAATATAACCTTAGGCCTAATTTATAGTAAGCGCGTTATGTTAAACCTTTGTGTTATTTAACGCTATCGACATCACATTTGATTCCTTTTTAAAAACTAATTTAATAGATAAATATAAAATTTTTATAATCGTATCACATATTTTTACTATCGAATCGCAACATATGTTTTTCAAATTTTATCATAACGTCATCATCATATCGCTCCATATTTATAAATTACACCTATTTATTGGCTTGATTTTGCAAATAACACTGCTTTAAATAACGCACCGCGTGAACATAAGTTTATAAATTAGGACCTCGACTTGTTTAAAAATTTGCAATAGTATACTAGTTATTTTATGATACTTAAATAGTAACATTAGTAAAATGAGCCGCACAGCCATGTTCGCACATTTTTATGGCAGTGGCACCGCTTATGGCCAGATTACGATTGGGTAATGATATGTCTTATATCATAAGGGGATCGTTTTTCTTCATCTTTACTATTTTTTTACGCGTAATAATATGGATGTGGAACAACGGCGCATGTATTCGACTTTGAGACTTAGGATGCCTGTTTTATGTTTTTTGAAGAATTATTATTTATTTATTGTATGGTATAAAAGGGCTAATTTTTGCCAAAAATTAGTAATTAATTTTTCTTCATTTATTTTAACTATAAAATTATTGCTGAACAATTATTTATATTTTTTATTCGAGCCCAATAACCAATGAAATAGGTAGCATACAGCCATTTGCTAAACGTCAAAAAATAAGACCTATTTATTTTTAATATATATAGAGACCTGCAGAGGTACCCTTTGTACAGCCTGACTCGGATTTTAAAAATTTTTGGCCCAGCAGGAATTATTTTTAAAAAAAATTCGGCCCGGCCCGGTTTTATATTCTCAGGCCTGGGCCAGATTTTTTTAAGAAATATTTTCAGACCCGGCCCACAATTTTTAAAAATATAATATTTAATTTTTATAGATATATCTATTTAAAATATTTGGCCCAACCGGGTATTTTTTTAGGCCCGGCTCGGCCAGAGTATATTTGAAGAAATTAAAATAGGTCAGGCCAGGCCTGCAAGTCTCTGATACATATTGGAAATACGTGGTCGAGTCCGATCTGCATATCATCCCCACAAAGAGGGAGCCTAATTGGCTTTAAAAGAATATGGTCCTTACTGGATTTGAACCCGGAATATCGGAATGTGATACCCTCATTGAATAGAGTAGGCCGCAAACGCTACTCGAAAACATCATATTATGTATATAAGGGTGAAATTACAACTCTATCTAATATTTTAATAAAACACATAAAAAAAAATAACGTTCAAGACTATACATCATTACACATGATTTTAAAACAAATATTATATAACCTCGAGATTCTAATGTAAAGTTTTTAAAATATTAATTAATTATATTTATATATTAAATTTAATAAAATATGAATACATAATAGCACTTATTGCATTGCACCAAGTCGAATTAATACGAAAACCTTAATCAAAATACTTTACCCGTTGGCACTGCATATTAATTATGTTAGAAGTATCAGTGCTGTCAACAAGAGTCCTATATATAATATGCGAAATAAAATGGGAAACAATCTTTAAAACTGAACTATATCTAGTTTTATTCGCATTTACTAAATCCATTCATAGTGTAGTTTCTTTCCTTCCAAAAAGGGATCAACAATTAATTTTGGTTTATTTCAATGAAATAGAAATGATATACAAATCAATTAATTACCCAACTGCAATTAATTTATTTTATATAATTTTTTCATTTTAAAATATTTTGCTTATTAGATATTAGCGAAACTACTTGATCCAAGATTTAAAGATCTTAAAATTATTATAGAATATTTAAAATTTTAATTAGACATTTTAAACTTATAAAAAGCATCGTAGAAATGCAGAGAATGAGATTTAAGTTGAAAATAATGGACAAACATTCAATTTGTATATAGCTAAAATAGCACTATAACAACTTAGCACTAGCAATCTAGAGCAAGAATGCCACATTTTATTCGGCTCAACTATACCAGAAGAGGATGCACTAACCTTTTGGAAAAAAAGTTATTGGAACTTCATATACTTGTAACGAGTACACATAGCGAAATGATTTTTCCATCACTGGATTAATATTCAATGCTAAAAGAATCTTTTTATGCCAAATCTCTATAAATTAATATTTATATTAATGACATATAATTGATTTACACAATTAAAATTTTACTTAATTCTATTTCTAATTTATTTTATTTTGTTTGCATTCCAAAGTTGTTTTAATAAAATCGATAGCATGACCTTTAAAAAAGATACATAAATTTATTTAAAAGTGGGACAGGAAATTTGAGAACTAAACTATGTTAGCAATCTTGAAGTTAAAGGTAGTATACCCAAATCGTTGTAATGTAAGTACTATTAAAAAAATATTTTTTCCCATTTATTTCATCAATTGACATTTATTCTCAAATTACAGTATATATTTTTATTATTTTAAATGATTATACAATATAGTTTATTATTTCTAAAATAGTAATTGTTTTACTTACTTTATAAATAAGATCTCTGGAATAGCATATTATACTTTATAAATAAGATCTTTGGAAATTGTTTAAAAATTGCTAATGGCGTATCTTTAAAATTAAAAAAACTTGTTAACCAATTTTTACCCAAACCTAATTTTTAGTATAAATTTATATTAAAAAATTTAAATGTGATTTAAAAAACGACTTCTGAAAAATTAACATTCTTAAATAAAGAATTTTAGAGCTATTTGATTATACCACATACATGTCTCTATTATTTAAATTTTTCATGCAATCTGTTATGTTTATGCATTATGCATATCTGAGACACCGCTTTTACACTTTCAGCCCTAATATTTCCTAACTATAAAATACTTTGATATAAAAACCTTTTTCCCCGATTTGTATTCGAATTACCCGATACAAGTATTCCTGGTTATGCCCCACTTTCTGGTCAATGTAACATAAATTATAATACTAAATTTATTTTGAGGATATCCTTATTTATTTTGAAAATATTCGTCTTTATTAAATATAATTATGACTGGCTAATAAAAATAATTTGATTTAAATCGCGATTTATATCACCACTATTTTAAAAAAATCAATCAATATTTTTACAATTTTATTTTTTAAATTTGATCGAAATATTTAATATTGTGAGACAGACTTAATTATTTCAAAATTTATTTTTATAAAAATGAAAAATACTAAATGAAAAATAATAATTGTTAATTGTATAATTCTAACCCCAGGCGCGTACGCAGGAATTTGGTCTGGGGGGGGGGGATAAGAAATTTTTTAAGAAATATTATTGTTTTTTAAAAATATCAAGCATAAATTATTTAGAACTAATAACTATTTCTAATACATAACTTTAAATTAATGTGAATTATAAATAAATTATATGTATTAACCGTCATATAAAAAACTATAAAATAAATATGAATTAAATTAAACGGATATATCTGGCGGTATGGAAAAACTATAAAATAAATGTGAATTATAAAATACAAAGTGAATATAACCACTATATGAATCACTTAAATGACCCAAAATAGAAATTTGTTTTTGAGCCTTTAAAATTTATATATGTAAAAAATTTAAATGTTGGAAATATAAATTAATACACAAAAAGTTTCTAATTGTATTTTGTATGTTATATATTTACATGTAAAATTCAATCTTCGTTGAGATTGAGCTAATTTTTCAATTATCTCATCCTTGCTTGTCGTCAAATGCCTATGAATATTCAAAAGATCTTAACCTTTCAATCTACTTTCAGAAGTTGTACTTCTTGGTATGTTTTTCAGAGATCTGGGTCCGGACCGTATTTTAATTTTTTAAATATACCCGGGTAGAGTCTGAAAATTTTATTAAAAAAATATCCGGGCCGGGTTGTATTTTTAAAACCACCTATATTTGAAATCATTATTATTAGCTATAAAAATGAAAAAGAAGTATAATTAATTTTAAAAAAATCCGGGCCGTGTCCTGCAAATGGTACCTCTGCAGGGCTCTGTTATTTCTTAAAAAAGAATGTTCTCTCATTAGTTTACTAATGGGAAGAGTTGCTAATATATATAGACCCTTTTAATACATTGGGAATATAATCTAAAATGTGTTTGAAATGCAAAGTATTCATAGAATTTTTTGGGATATCAACCATAGTTAATTTTATAAACATAGTTATTAAGCTAATAAGGCATCATAAGATACTTTAACATCTTCATGATAAAAATCTAACAAATATATTTTTTTTCTATCACCATCTGAAAAAAGTTGGTAAGGCTTTTGTGTAAGTAATATCTGCAGATTGGTAAGTGCTTCATGATGAATTAAAAACCATTCATTTATTTGGGTTATAAATATATCTAAGATAGGAAACATTTGTTTTATAATACTCTTCTACTGATCCTATATTAATGTTTTAACGATGAGCTTGCCTTGCAGCAAGTCGAGGGAGACAAATATTAAACACGTATAGCTCTCCTTTTGACTCAACAATAAAATATGAAATTCTTCATCAACATTAGCCCTAATTTCCTTGAGTTCTGATAAAATGCTCTCCGCTATTCTCATCTTCTTAATCAAGTCAATGTCATGTTTTTGAAAAGTAATATAAAATAGTTGTATAAAATAATACATTCTAATGAGAAATAAAATTTGGAATAAGCATTGAATCCAATAATTTTCTTGCTTCTGAGGAAATATTTCTTTCAGGCCATTGTGATATTTCAGTAATAGCAAATAATCGGCTCTTATCACTCCATATAAGCTGTTACTGCTTGATGGCGAAGACTCTATCTCGCTGGACAAGCTTGCAATTTCTTCCTCCCTGTTGGACAAGGAGTTTAAATAATTATTATTTGACTAGAAATTTGAAAATGATAGATAAATATTACGCTACTAAAAATTTGAAAATAATAAGTAAATATTACGCCGGAAAACTTGAAATCGAAATTAATTGATAATGTGATAATTAAATGTAATTAAATATTTAATATGAGATAGGAATAAATATTAAGAAATATAAACAATAATATTTTTGAAAAATATATCCGGCATCTGCATTTTTTGGCTTGGAGGGAGGGATTTGCCCCCCTATCACCCTCCCCCCCCCCGCTGCGTACACGCCTGTTCTAACCGTAATGTAGTGAGAAATTATTTTTATTCTAATTTTAATATATAAAAAAACTAAGGTTATAAACAACATTTTTTTATATTTAATATAAGGGGCTATTTTTTCTTTATAACAAAAAATATTTATGTAAAATTAAAAAATAGCATCCCAATAATAATAATAATAGATTAACAATTACAAGCATTATCCATGTCCTTAACATTGTAATTCGAATTTAATTGTTAAAAAGATTCCTAAAACATATTTAGAAAGAGAGAGGGTAATAAAAATGTTTCATTTTGGGGACACATCAAGCATATGCAGAAAACTCATTCAATATTTTATTTTAAAGAAGCATCATTAATGATTGAACAATTATTAAGGCATTTTAAATTGAGCGAATGAATGCATCAGGGCACCCAGTTGAAAAATAATAAAACCGCCATTATTCTATTAGTTATGAAAATATAATTTTCGGTTTAGCCGTTTGAATCAAATTTTACGATAGTATTCATCTTAGAAAATATTAAATGGCTTTCTTTTTGACTATTGATATCGATGTTAGATTTATTTTAAAAAAAAGTATGCACATATCGAATTTTTATTTGACAAAATATCAAATTAGCTCATGACCTAATATATATTTGTTCAACAATTTTCTTAATGGGTCTCCTAAAGCATTAACATTTGCAAGGTATTATATTGAAGCAAAAAAAATATGATATAGATATTTTTCAATAAATCTCTACTTCTCTAATTAAAATATTAGTATTTCATTAAAATTGCGATTTAAATAATATATTTTTTTAGATCACTTATTTTGCCAACCCTATATATTAACATACCATTAAAATATGAATATTATTTTAAATGCAATATTATATAGGCAGATATAAATAGTTAAACTTATTTTATCGAAATTAATAGTTGTAATCATTTTGAAACATTTTACTTGAAATATTTTATATTTCCAATATCTGATTTTTTACATATGCAATGAACCTAATTTTATATGTAATAAACAATATGACCTATCTGATATGTGATGTGTATGATTATTATTTGTGCACTTATCTTACAATATAATTTGTGATATCTTCTAGCTTATTTCCCATTTTATAATTTTCAACCCATAGTTTTGGTCATGTATAGAGAAAAATGAGGTCGTAACCTTCCCAGACCATCCCTGAACACACTATAGAAATTGATTTTTTTAAAATTTAATAATATACATATATATATCATAATCTCACAATTTGTTTTTTTTATTTTATATTGTAATGATTTATACATGTTACGAATAATAAACTGATAACAAAGTATAAAATTTGAAATATAAAAATATTAATTTATATACAAATTTTTTATAAATACATATGATTAATCGTTCGTCATAGGATTTGGCACTATTTTAATATAATAATTGCTTATTGGTTGCCTCATATAAAAGGCATCTTAATTGAACTATTATAAATAATTTTAAAAAGGATAATACTATATTACATAATTTGGAGGGGAAAAATATTCATACCACGATTTTGTAAAAAATTGTAATAATTTGGCAATTGGGGGAAAAAGAAAAATGATTATGTTTGGACACTCAAACAAAATTATTGCACTGATGGATGTAAATATTTAATAGATGAGATTATGTATTGCTTTATTTTTTTTAAGGATATAAATTTTATTCTTGTACAAAAAAATATGATGATTGTTGATCCTTACAATAACTTTACAGTTATTAATTTTGATAACTATTCTCCAAGATATTTTACAATAAAAGCGGAGATAAGTAATGGGAATGGTTTTATAATGTTAGGTTGTGTAACATTAAAGCAAAACTCTTTTGATCACAATACAAAAAAAAATAGGTCGAGATTAAATTAATGTTATAAGACGTGCTTTAGAATTTATTCAAGGCAAAGAATGGTAAAAACTAAAAACACATAACTCCTTTTAAACAAAAAATGCGATATGAATAAATGTTTTTAGAATGCAAATATAATATTTTAATTTCATTGCTTATTTTCGTCGTCTATATTTCTTGTGGTTTACAATTTAATAAATAATTTATTAAAATAAAGTATTGAACATCAATGAATCCGATAATAATTTAAATACTGATCAAGGTATTTATATAAATTTTATTTCTTTAAAGTTAGGATATATTATCTTTATCGGGTTGGCTGTCCCCTAAAAAATATATGTACAAAATATCATAAATCTAGTATATTATATATAAACTATTAGATTTATTTAAAAAAAGTTTAGCATTACATTATTTCCTTTTCTATCTAACATTTTTTTTACATTTCAACATTTCTTGTATGTGTTAGGAAAACATAAATTTTAAGATGTATTCAAAGAAGCGCAATATAATCTCTGGATTACATTTAAATTGCATCTATATATAATATTATGTTAAGAGAAACAAATAGACAAGAATGTACACTGTTTACGTTAAATAAACAATATTAAATAATTTATATTAGGTTCTCCCCAAATTTTCAAATTTTTTATACTACTTTTATAACTAAATGGATCCATTCACTTAAACCATACTAAATTTTTTAAAGGGTTAAACATAACTTTCTCTCTGCCCCCACTCAAACCATTTTAGAATATAATACCGGCTGCCCATTTATTTTATATAAATTAAAAAATTAAGCCCCCCTTTCTCAAATTTTAAAACCTGGATTAAATAGTGCAAATTTGGCTCACATTTTTATACCCCATATTATTTGTAAAAACGATAAATATGGGTAATGTGTTATTTTTTAACTTTAAATCATTTTTGAGTGCGTTTAAATTTAAAAATCTGATTGTACAGGAAAGGTAATCCAGCAGAATAGCTCTCTTATGAATCATTTATAATTTATACAAAAAATGATGGAAATATAACTAAATTATATTAAGTTGAAAAGTTCATGACAAAATTGACTGAAATTCATAGGGTGAAATACAGATCTTTAAATTTAAAAAAGCGCTCAAAAAATGATTTAAACTTGAAAAATAACATTGACAGAAAAAACATGTTGCCGTTAACATATATATAAATTTTTTATTCTGAAATATAACCCATTCTTTTCAATTATATGCGCTCAACTCAAACTTCTTAATATAATAAAATTGTCATCTCGCTATTTAAAGTTTTATTTATTTTGGTTATTTTTAAAAATAAATGTTTGATTTTTATTATTTTGTTTATTTGTACTATTTACAAGTATAAGTAGTTAAAAATTCTCTGAGCTCTATTTGCTCAAGAAATTCGGAAAAAATATTGAATAATGAGAATCAACGAATTTCATCATGGCCTCACTTGTAATGTCTTAAATATTTATAGAACGAAAATAAAAAAGATATCACTGTAAAAATGTTCGTCCTCTTCGAAAGAGGTAGAACCAGGTTGGATAGGCAGTAATCTTTTACGTTGATTACTATTGATGTCGACCCCAGACAGAAAGTTATTAGCACTGACTACTAAAGACGTTGGGACGTATGGTAAAAGTCTCTTTTTGCGAGTCGAAGATGGGAATATTATATCATCCTTTTTGGACGAGAATGGAGACGAAAAACGAAATTGCTGCGTGTCTAAACATTTTTTTTTATTTAAAGTAGACTGTCTAATTTTTAAAATTGTTTTTGGGAAAACATAAATGATCCGTTTTTAGAATATCAACAATGAACAAATTATATTATTGTTAGACGATATTATTATTCTTTTTTCTCCAGTCCTAGACGGTTACAGCGACATGGCAATACTTTTCAAGTATGGAACGATCATTTCAATACAATTTTAATAAAGAGTGTTTCAAAGTGTTAGATAAAATTAAGACGATATAAATTCATTAAAAAAGACAACACATATGCTATTAAAACTAGGTTATCAATATAAACCTTACCAGTATTTTTAACAATCAAAAATATATTATGTTAATTGGAATGGAAATGTTACCACCGTTTACGTATTATATTAGGATTATATATATACATAAATTTATTTTATATGGCCCAAAAGTTATTTTAAAATTTAATTTTAAATAATCAATTAGTTGTTAAAATATAAAAAAAAATGAAGTATGTTTGAAGATTAAACTTTGAAAAAATAGATGTAATTTCTGCTTAGCCTTGATTCTAAACAGATTTTTTCCAGTTAAAAACTTGGCTAAGCCGTTTTGGAGTCGACTTGAGGGGAGTGATTTGTAAAACCAATATATATACGAAATAATATAGATAACTCACAAATTTTATCTTAAAAAATCTTGTGCACCAAAGCATAGATGCATTGGTAATATTTTTAGAAAATATCTAAACGGATACTAACGATATTAACACCGTATTGGCCGATACCACCGATACCAAGTAATAATAAAATAAATTAGAGTAAAATCACTTTCTTCCTTTTATCTGTTTAGAAAATTATTATATGGATTTTTAAAAAAAATCACAGCGTAATATTATTTTTTTTATGAAGAATAATTAATACAATTAGGGTGCGATACTGATGAGTGGGGTGCATTCTGGTATATAGAGTTAAATACAGGAAAGAAATATTTTAAAATTTTTGATTTCATAATTGTGCCATTTCTAGTGTTGTTAAACGCCTAACTCAATATTTCATTAGGAAAATTATTATGCAAGCCTTAAAATTTTGCTCATAGGTGGCACAAAGGTTTGAAAATCTATTAAAGAAATCTCGAGGCTTAGACAATATTTTTCTGGTTAAAATATTGAGTTAGCCGTTAAAAATAGGCTTAATTCGAGCCGTTTAACAACACTAGCCATTTCCTTTTAAAATATGAAAAAATGAGAATGATGGCTTGATATTTTGAAATTTGAATTAGGCGAATAATAAGTAAAACAAGATATAATAATTCTGTTAAATACTGACCGTGTCTCATGGGCGGAGAAGTTCGGTGATATAAGGGTGTACCAAGGTCCTCGTCGAGACTGGTGGAAGATTCTACGATAAGAGGAGTTTTTATATCATGGCCGGAATCGGGTACAGGACCATGGGTAGGAAATATAAGCAGACTTTTTTTGTCGGGAGGCGAATACAGGCGAGGTAAGTGAGGAGGCGGTGGCAATTGATAGGGCTTTGAGAAATGAAACAGTTTTTTTTTAATTGAGTGGGTTTTTGTAATATTCTTTTCTTTTATCAATCAAAGATTTTTTGTTTAGTTGCTTCAGATCATATATTAATTTGCCCAATTAGATATTTTTTCGATTTTATTATGATTTAACGTTATGAAGTTAACCTCTACCCCCCCCTCCCCCCCCCCCCCCCCCCCCCCATTTTTTATGCCTATTAAAGGGAGAGACGGGGAGATGAACAAGAATAATGATACACAATTAATCTTAAAAATAATTCGAATGAAATAATAATTATAATTGTGAATGTTGGTTACTTGTGCGTAATGATCGAAATAAGATGGGGACGCGATGGATGGAAGTTTACGGGATATGGAAGATGGATGAGTAGGCAAGGCTTGCGGACTTTGCTGAACTACTTCGGCCCATGGTAAATGTCGACTTACTTCATCCGCCTCGTAATCCTCTGGTTTGTGGCTTTAATTTAAATCAAAATTTTTTTATATTTTATTTGATTAATATATTAATTGAATAATTTTTTATCGGCTTGAGTTTCAGTATTAATAATCAATACATATATTTAACTACTAATCCTTATTTCAATCACAGTGTTTGGATTTAATATTTTCGAGTCAAACAAAAATAAGTAACAAGATTTAATTTTATAATAGTTATATTTAAATATTTCAATTACAACTCTGACCAAATCGTGACTTTAATATAAAAATTTTGCCAAAAAAACAAAAACCTTTCGATTCTAGGTTGCCTTTGCAAGAGGGGAGATCTTATCGAGGAAGGTTGTAATTGTAAATCAATTTGTTCGTAGGATCTTATAAAATAAAAATCGTCATTAAAAAACATCAATTATTCATATATTTTTTATATAATATTATTTTACCATGTGATAGTTTGGAAATCATTCATTTCTATTTTCAATAAATAATATTAACTAATAATTTGAATAGCTGCCATTTTTATTCAAAATATGCGTGAAGTATAATCAAAAAAATTTCTCTTTCCATCTAATTCTCTGAACCTTGCTTGTATTAGGCTCCAAAATTCATCATAAATGATAGAAAATTATTTTATTTTTCATAAAGACACAATAACTGACATTGGTCCATATTCGACAAATTCACCAGTTAATTTTACCTTTCGTCTAGATCTCTGGTTCTATTATAATCTCGACGATAATCGCCCCGATCAGTTCTATCCGTTTCGAATAATATTTGAGATTCGTCGGCTGCCCTATCCATATTCAAATCTGTTTTAGTTTGATCTATATCTTCTTCTCTTTCATCCAAAGATGGAACAATTATCCCACCACCCGACATTTTACCCGTACTGTAGGGGGCATCTTTTTTCTTTCTCAAACTGCGTTTACGAAAACTTCCGCCTATTCTTTTGACAAATGCGCCACTTATACGTCGTTTAGAAGATTCGGGTTCTATTGTAAAAAATCATAAATTAAATTTATTAATCACACGATGCCGCTATTTTTATCATGATGATAGAAAGATTACACATCATCTAACTGTGATTTAAGACTTTTAGACTCTCGGAAAGGACCAATTTAAATCTAAAAAATAATTATGCCAACATATATGCGCTTCTGTATTTAAAAACTAAAATGGTGTTTTTAAAATTTCCAAAAATCAAGTAAAGAAATACTTAAAAAAAAACCTTTAGGTGTTGTTTCACCTTCCATTCTAACATCAGGTAAAGGGATAGGTAAAGTGGATTGGTTCTTGCTCAAGGCCTTACTTGATTCATCCGTCCCTCCTACACCCAAATTTCCGGTTATTTTGCTTTGAACGGCTGACACTAGATTACCAAATATGGATTGATTTCTCTATGAAGTGGGTATTTTTTTATATTTATATTAAAAATAGTAATTAATAAAGTCAATTTATGAAAAATATTGTTAGAAGCAATCATATAAGATCATAACTTCCACCTTTGAATCTTCGTCTCCTCCAGTTTCCAGATTTCCAGACATGGTTCTCCTAACTTCAGGGCCTGTATCTTGAATAGCTCTTAAGCCAGCCTTCATATACATTTTTTTTAAATATTGAAATTAAAATATTTTTTATATTAGTAACCACAAATTTCAAGGAAATAATTACTGACATAAAAAAATGCTTGTAGGCCATTTAATAGGCATAAATTTTATGGCCCGACCCAATTATAAGTGTGGGCTTGAAGATAAACAAAAAAATTTGGGATGAGCTCAAAAAATAACTAAATAAATTTGGAAGGCAAGGCTCTAGACGTGATAGAAGCTAGATGCTCAAAGAGTTGACTATCATAGGAGAGATAACCTCTAAAAGTGTTCACTTTTTGTGTATTGATTAAAAATGATATATATATATATTATAAGTAGATAGTTATTAATTTTTTTGTAATATACACTATATTATTTATTAATGTATTTTTTTAAAACAAACCTGTAATATATTACCGCTACCACCTTTATCCTTATCACCTAAGTGAGGATTTTTCTCGAGTTCTTTACGCCTCTTAAAACGACGAAAGTAATCTTGAATCAAAAAAGTGGCATAAAATTTTCCCACTGTTACATCATCATCTTGAATTTTTGTTTGTTTAAAATTATGTTTTTGAATATTCATTTACATTCAATAAATCAGGAATAAACCGAAGGATACTACAAGATTTGCAATTTAAATGTGCTTGTAATTATGAGTTTACCGATTTTCCAATATCAGATCTTTTATTTTTCATAATGCTAATTTTTTTAAAATCGGATAGGCCGATAATGTTGAAATCATATAAACCACTAAAAAGGGATATATTAAACTAATGAGATTAGTCTTAATTTAAGAACGGGGCAAAAAAATTTTTAATTTTGCAGGAGTTTAAATTTAGAAAAAGAAATCTAAAAATGTGAATAGGAGGAATTTTATTTAAAAAAGTAAGAGATTATCAATTTACGTCCAGCGGGTGGCACAATTTGATCCAATAATTTTTGACTAGTTCTTTTCCATATCTTTTTAATTACAGCTCTTAGCTCTTCGTTAGCTTGATCAAGGTTCCCTGAGCATAAGAAACAGCGAAAATCAATGTAACAAAAAAAGAATAAATTTTTTTTTTAAAATATAAAAAATTTTTACAAATATTCTTAACTTTTAAAAATTATTTCTTAGTAAACGAAAAGATAAAATAATATATTATTTACAAATAAGCTAATATCATCAAGCAAGCATCAACTGTATTAATTAATATTAACCATAATCGTTAATTTTACATCTAAATCCCTAGGGGTTAATAATTTGGTATAGAAAGTCGGTCAGTAAATAAATTTTAGATATTTTCAATATATTTTTTTTGTTTTAGAGAGAAGGTTGGAGGTTACACTCAGGATTGGGTAAATTTTCAAAAAATTTTAAATCCCACTTTAGAAAAAATTATCTTAAATACAAATACATATTACTATTGAAAATTTTCAGATACAAATATTTTCAAAAAGTTTTAAATTCAAATACTTTTTTATAATAGTTTATATATAATATCTATTTAATTGCTTTTCAAAAATCAATATGTAATATTATTCAAGATGTTTTTAAACATAGTTATTGTAGCAAATGTTTATATTTCAGAATAAAAGTAGAGATGTAAATTTCCCGGGAAACTATAATTAGGGAAACAACGGGATTGGTGTATGATAACTACAATTATTTTGTTATCTAAGTTTGAAGATAAAAAAAAATTCAAGATTTGAGTTTAAACATCTGGAATCGAGCAATTTGTCATTTGCAGAAGTTGCTTTTTCCATAAAACTAGTTTCTTGACCTTATATATTTTTTATTTTATCTCGAGATTTTTAGTTGATATTTACAAAAGAAGATTAAATTCTTTTCATCACTACAAGTCTGTAGCACTGATAAAATTCCTATTTACAAACTTCATTGTCTTTAATTAAATACACAATATCTTGGGTCAAATATATGAGTAGCGAAATGTACTATATTTCGGTAACAAAAATTTATTCTGTTTTTATTTATAAATTTTGCAATCTCCATAATTCCGTTCTAAGAGAGATTTGATGTTGCTTTATAATTGTTAAATATCTTCCTGATATTAATAAATGCTTGTGGAACGTCAGATAAATTAAATTTATCCGTTTCCGCTATCTCTATTTGTAAAGAAATGGCTTTTATAAATTGTATAGCTGTACAAGATTACTTAAAATACCTCCATTATCAAGTATATGCTTCTTATTATCTCTATCAGTAAAAATTTCAATTATTGCCATATCCTGCATAATATTTTCATTTTTTTAACAGACTATTAATTATCAAAATTATGCCTGCCCAACGGGTTGATCCCTTTAAAGAAACAATCCGATTTTTATCAAAGCAGTTGTTTTTCCTTAAAGTTGATAAAATATATGGTGGATTAAATATATTTTATTATAATTTTGGCCTTTGCTGCTAAAATTTGAATTGGAAATATTTTATTTGATATACCCTTTAAGAGCAAATAAAGTCCATGCATGAGATGCGCACACACGATAGTTGGGATTAAAGTATTCATACTTTCATATTACTTGCATTATCAGTTATTATGTGTTAATTTTTATGTTTCCTATCTCTTCAATTACTTAAATTCATTAGACATATATTCCCATCTATGTATATTGTTGGGATGAAAAAAAACCGTTTTTTTCTGGGAATTTCGTATTTTAATTTTTTTTATTGATACAATAGTAATATTTTATATCAATTTTTTTTATCATTTATATAAAATATTATAAAAATCAAGCATTCGTGAATATTCTTTTTGAAATATAAATTTGTTGTATTGAATTTTGTGAACAAGATGGTAGGGGTCGGTGAATGTTCATGATGTTAGAAGTAAAATGTCATTTTCTGCTCGAGCATTTATCATTCTTAAATCGTTCATATTATGATCCTTTAATCTGCTATTACTTTATAAGAAAAAAATGCACTGTTTCAATTGATTTATAGAATATGAGGCTTGAGGTTGTAATATTAAAATTTATATTACATTTCCCTTATAAATGTCCACCCATCACTAATGAGGGTTATATTTTTATATAATCTTTTGGTTACTATATTTTAATTCTTTCATATTCATTGATTAACAAATTTCAACTGATTAAATATCTTGAAGGGATTTTAAAAGCAGGTTAAAAGATTGAAATGACTTCTTCCATTACACATTGAGTTATGGAAAATGTGTATTTGACATAAAAACGGTTGCTACAAATTTAATATCTAGTTGAATTTTTACTTCAGATGAAACACTATCAACATATTTCATTAAATTGTTTTGCTTGCATTAATATAGTGTTTTGGAAATATTTAATCGATTCAGCTTAATATATTTAAAATTAGATTTTTCATCAAAATTAATTAACTGTACCTAATCAATATCACTCAAACTTTTAAATAACCACCAACCCTCTCCCATATCTCCAACCTTTAATACTACTTCTTATCCTTACCTCAATTATTAAATGTTTTAACTTATTAAAAAATTTCCTTCAGATGAACATTTATTGAGTTGAGATTTATTATACTATCTAAAATGATTGAGAATGAACGTATACATACAAAAACAGAACACAATTATGATTCATGAACTATGAGGAAAAAAATATTTCAGCAAAATATGATGAAGATCGTGTGATCAAAACACATTGGGGAAACTATAAGGAAAATTTCAAATTTTCCGGGAAATGTGTTACATCCCTAAATAAAAGTATGCATACTTGGCAATATAAAAATTCACATTAAAAGAATGTATTCATTTTAATAAAATTATACCTTACTTTTTTTAATACAAGTTTTTCAAACAATGTATCCTTTAATCGGTGTCAATTCTAAAGGTATGCAAAGAAAAAATTATTTTGATGACTGGTTTGTCTTTTTATTTATTTGAATGTATTTTTAATTAAACTTAGGAAATATGCAATATTATGAAAATAAAAAAATATATTTTTAATAAATAGAAGTCTGTTCTACTTATTACGCCTAAAAAATATTTAAAATCCATCAGCTCATCGTCTTAAAAATATGTTTTAACCCACCAGCCCAATATTTAACCTATTTTAGAAAACCTGCCCGCACATTGCAGACCTCTAGTCTATTCAGTCTATTTGTAGCAACTGTAAATAATCTTTCAAAGGGAGATGAAGATGAAGATAAAATATAATTGTATACCTCGTTCAACTTTAAATCATTGAAGATATTATTAATACTACTATTATAAAAGCTCAAGTAATCATCCCCTTCAACATAAGAAAAGAAGATGAATCACTAGCTGATTCACGACATTATTTTTTTGAGTTTTAAGAGCTTCCTTTAAAAGCATATTTTGAAGATAATTTTTTTTCATCGCATTATATCAATCGATATTGAAAATATGGATCAGTTAAAGTAGCTAGTCCCTTCTATATTTGTCCATCGCATTTATATTTTGGGCAAAAACGTTTACCCAAAGCATTCTCATTTGCCATAACGAGAGGTTTAGAATAATGCAATAATATGTCAGCATTTTGTTGACAGCTATTTTTATGATAAAAAGAATAAGTACAACTATAAGTTTGCCGTAATAGCAATTATTGTTATCTTATAATTGGCTAATGGTTGCATATCTATAGTACTTGCAAATACTATATTTTATTATCTTTTTTTGAAATATACAATTTCTCAAAAAAACCCTTTTCAATTTCACTTGAAGGCATAAATATAGACAAAGTGGAAGCTATATAAATAATTATTTTAAATGCTATTGAAAATTCTAAATAAAAACAATTATAAATACAAAAAAGTATGTATTTAAAACATGTACAATACTGCCCAACCCTGAGTATAAGTTAATAATTTTTTTAAATAATGACTAATTGAAAATTTTATGAAAAGATGCCTTTTAATTTTTTAAAGGGTACAAAATTATTTTTTTTAAAAAATGTAACCCGGCTAAAGGCCTGTAAGAGGGCATAAATCCTTCCAATAAAATGGTAGAAGCCATCAAAAAACCGACCATAGAAGTTAGGCCAATTTTTTATAAGCCTATGATATAAACTTAATGTAATCTCCATAAGGTGATGACTAGGTCGATTTATGAAGTCAAAATAATGAGGCGGTGGCCTTTCTATGTTTTACCGTGATATATAATTAAGCATAGAAAATTCTGAGCTATAGTAAGTTTTTTTTAAAATGGCGGAATTATTATATATAATATATTAAATAATTTTGAAAAAGATCAGTGAAAATGTTCAAATATCTTTTTCAAAATTAAATGAACTGACTTGGGGAAATTATATTAACCATATCCGATTTAACAATACATTTGATGCCTGGTAATGCTATACTTAATTGTAATATATTTTCGTGAAAAAATTATGCTAATTACCTATTGGATTGTAATCTAATTTTTAATTCTTATTAAAAAGTTAAAATAACTATAAAAACTTATTGATTCGTATTTATTTACCCCTAATAGTTTCATTGGAATTAGTTGATGATTCAGAATTTATAAATCAAAGGAAGATGAAAAATAAAAACTAGTTAATAATCAAAAAAAAGAGAAAAAAAACTCATTCAAAAAATGAAAAAAGTGAGTGGAGGATGGCAATTAAAGGAAGAATGAAAAAATATTTTTCAAAAAGTAAGTTATGAAAATATAGTACCAAATAAAAGGAAAAGGAAAAAAAATGTCTTAAAAGGTGATAGACATAAAACTTAGTCAAATAGAGAATTATTTTTTATGTTAGCGAATCTCAATTAACAAGCAATAAAGTATGAATAATATACAAAAAAAATAAAATATAATATAACACACACATAAAAGGATGCAAAGAAATTTTTTTAAAGTGTGTCACACAATATAATAAGTATAACTACAATCATCTAGCCAAAATATAAAACATTAAATAAAAATATTTAATTCAAGTGCGAACTTTAATTTAGTGATATTAATCATGAATATCAAACAAGTCAAACCTTTAATATTATGATGAAAAAAAAAGAGATTTATATATAAGGGGATATTTATATAGGTATAAAATAAAATTCTGAGATAAAAAAATCTAAAAGACTGGCAAAGAAAGGAAAAATAAATGCACACTTAAAAAATGGTTTCTATTTCAAAGTTTAAGAATAAAATATTGAAGAATAAGAAAGATGAGAACTAGAGCTACCTTCCATATTGAGGTGATGTGCTACCCTAATTAATGAAAATAAGGTACCACGGAATGTTACCGTTCCATCTTTAAGAAGCTGCATATTCATAGCCATCATTTTCTAGGTTTGAGGGCGGGCATAAAATATTTGTAATTGTTTTTTAAAATCAATAAGAAAAGAAAGAAAAGGGAATTAGATTTTGGAATATTATATGTAAATTTATTCTAAAAAGGGTAAATATGATGAGTGTATATATATAACAAGTTTTTGTTTTAGTGGTATCACTCAATTTAATATAAATACAATATATTATAACTCGCATATTAGGATTCACGAAGGATCAGAATTTACAAAAAGGTAAAAACGGAAAACGGGGAAAAAATGGTCAGTTAGAAGATTTCTAGGATCATAAATTTTTAGCGGGAAAACGTTATAAAATGGGAAATCTAAAGCGGGTTATTTATAATATACTGTAATGTAAAAAATATATGATATCAATCGATTTGATAATGTATAATAAAGCAATATATTATAAATAAAAATCATTCTTTAAAATGAAAGTAAATTATCATGCGAATTGAATATTGTGTAAAACTATGAAGCGAAATTTAGATTTATATTATTGTAAACTTAAATATTCCCAATGATCGCAAATGTAAAGCATTTATTTTTTTAAACCCTCTAAAGAGAGTAACATGCAAGCAAGCTAATTAATATTTAATATAGCAAAATATTGAGATTTCAAAACACTTAAAATGATTTTCCATCCATCATTCGTTTGGATATCGTAAATCTCGTTCCATATAAAATACCATGTTCCGTAGAGTTAATTTTTTTTTTACAATTTCGTTTGTCTAAAAGAATATGATAACGATATATTTTAAAATATATACATTCATTTATATTAAAAGTTTGGTAGTTTTATATAATAGTTAGATATTCTTTAATCTTTATATGCACATGTTAAGCTCAAAAATAAATATGGGAGTAAAGAAGGATGCAGTAAATGGATTTGTGGAATAAGTATTCTCGGAAAACATACTAGATACACTTATACTTTAATGACACAATTTTGATTTTTTTATAAAGTCAAGTAGATAATTTTCCAATAACTCTCCAAGAAAAATATCACTTAATAGAAAGTGTTAAATGACAGCTAATCTTTTGGTTATCTAAGTTGTTTTTTTTTTAAATTTTCCATACCGTCCATATAAATTCCCAAATTAGAACGAACTAAGGCAAATAAAGTGGCGTTGAACATGACTGTTCCGTCACTATTGAGAGGCATATTCATCTTGACCAAATTCTGAAGTAGAAGAAAAATATTTTTTTGTAAATGGGTTAACATAAAGGGTGATGATAATTATTTTGATCTAAACAACGCGGAGAAATCTTGAAAATGTTTAAATTATCATTTTATTTATAGATAAAAACCAAAATTTAGCTAATTTCTTTAAAATATACATTATAATATACTTATCATATTTCATATATAATTGTTACATAATAATAATGGTATTATTATTAACACACATTTATAATGTATATAGCACAACCCTTCCCAGCTTGATGTCTTTTTCATATATTTTCATGAGAAAATGAATGAGAAATGTATCAAGATTATAAAGAAAGAAAGGTGATGTGTTTAATATATAGTAATATACATCTTGGAAGACGCAAATGGTATATGACTTAACAATTAAAAATCATAATATCATTTGATATAACAATAAAAGAGGGTTTTTTTGTTAATAAAACACACAAAAAATAAGGATGACATTAATTAGGTGAATGAGAAAATGTCATATTTTTTTTGTATTGAAAGCCGATCAGGGTTAATAAAAAAATTAGTTTGTAAAAACAATGATTTATATGGAGCCGAAGGTATTAAATTGTTAAATTTTATACTAAATGTAGCATTAATTTGAAACGGTTAGATATATATAATAGAGCAAGATAGTGGTAAAAGAACAAGAAGAGAATTTACATTATACTACATGAATTTAGTTAGTAAAAAAGAAGAAATTAATATAAAAATTTTAAGTTATAATAGGTATAAGGTGTAGAAAGGAAACAGAAAAGGGTTAAAAATCTTATAATTAATAAAAAAAATTAAAATAAGTTGTGGGATGTTTTGGATGTAATACCAGTGTGTACAAAAACTTATTAATTTTAGCATTTAATTTGTCAATTTGAAAAAAAAATTCTTATCAAACTTTATTGAATCTGATTTTTTAAAAAAAAGATCTTTTCATATAAAAAATACCACTCGCGTCCATATATATACGAAGATTCGCGCGAATGAGTGAGAAAAGTGTTGAACTAAATGACACAGTGCCATCAGTGTTAAGACACATGTTCATGTATACCATTTTCTAAAGAATGTCACAATATTATTATATTTAGATGTTATTTATATATGCTTAAAAAAAATTAATGTTTTTATAGACAAAATACAAAGCCAATATTCTCTCTTAAATGAATGCGCTATATAGAATCTTTATTATAATTCAAGTATACATTATAAATTTTTTAAAAACATTATACATGTATTAATTAAAATAAATGCAAACGTATTTTTTTTTAAAGAATATGTTAAATTATTTGACTTTCATTTTATTTCATGCCTTATTTTTTTTTGGAATCAAAGCTTAGTGATCTTTATTATTTTTTTAAAATAAAAACGCACTTTCATAAATAAAGCGTGTTATTTTCGAAAACGTACTTCAAATGTAAAACGCGAAAATTATTCAAATTTTTTTAAATAAAAAAATAGGCAATAAAATACTTTCTCTAAATGATAAAATAAATAAAAATTAACTGTATCCAAAATGAGTAAATATTAGCCAATTCCATATCGTAAAGAAAATAAAATTAAAAAGATCGCCAATTATTATGCTTGCAGATTCAATTATATCTAACCTAAAATAAATATGTATTATTTTTAGGAAAAGAGAAATTTTAAAACCACGCGAAAAGTAAAACAAAACTTTTTGTGTTAAAAAAATTGGAATTAAATAAAATCAAAAATTAGCGCAATATAAAATGCAAAGCAATCACGAGATTGGTATTGTGACTTAAACTAGGGGGAAATTCCCGACCTTTCCGGTTCACTAGAATGTGCTTTTCAATCCGTTTATATCCAAGGCGGAATATTCTTTCTAATCGCGGTTTTGTAATAGCCGTGTTGGGATTCGGTTCGAAGTTCTATTTTGCACTAATCAAATATATAATCAATTCCGTATAAAAGAAGGAATTTATTGATCTGATTTTATTTTAAAGCGCAAGTATTTAAAACATATTTATAAAAGTTAAAAAAAATATTTATTTTATATATATCATGGCACGATTAATTTTAAACATTAAAGTTAGAAATATAATATAAGTCGTAACCAACTGTATTTCATTTATGTATATAATTTATTATATACATGACTTATATATAATAAATTAATTTAGTTAGGAATTAAACAAACTAAGTTCGGCGTTTAATAATCATTTTATATTCTTTTAAGTTAGATTTGATTATTTTTATTTTTAAAATTTCTGCAATATGGAAAAAAAAATAGCTGCTTAAATTTTAAGATTTCTAAAGCTATTTATTTTTATTCACTAAAGACACCCTTATAAATGAATTCTCCAATAAAATAAATGTCATTATGTGGAGTCGCTAGATAAAGACAAGAACCTGCTCATAACTCCTAAATTTCTATATGAAACTGTCACAAATAGTGTTTGATTTGCACACGTTGTATAATCATATGCCCCTTTTAACCGACCATAAGAGGTCGTAGAGAATGGTTCAAGTGGAATACAACCTTTATTTTGTGCAATCAGTTTTATATTGATATGCTTAAAAAATTTAAAGCTGAGATTTCATATGTTTAAAAGAATAAGAATTTAAAATTTATTTTTAAAATAAAATGAGATAAGATTTTAAATCTTACAAGTTAAAAAGAACAAATGAGAAATTGCCTTATAATGGATATGAATTGAGTTTAAATTGAATGATCTATACTAGTCCCTAATTATAAAATATCCAAGAAGGTTTAAAAAAATATATATTAACATGGTAAAAGACCGATTTCGCGATATAGGTATTATTAATAATGACATGTGACTCGATATTGAATAAAGGAGAATCGACTTTCGAAATTTAATTTTATTATAGATGAGAAATTTGAGAATGCCGAGAGAGGCTAAATAAATAGATAATTTAATGTTTCTCAGTAGATATTTCACTTTTACATCTGATTTTTTTTTAAACTATGGTTCTAAATATCTCAATTCAGCCATTTCAACAAAAAATATTTTAGATGATATCGAAGACGTTAGGGTCACTTTTAGGATTTATAATTTTTCTCATTAATATATATATATTAAAAAAAGATTTATTTTTAAGTCGAGATTAAATTGTCAGTGAAATTTTAGTCAATGAGTTGGAATGATAATTAAAAATTAAATTTTGCTAGGTGAATTTTTTTGCCATTTTCGTGAGTGGGCGGATTCAGGTTGAAAGTAATACAAAATGTACATGTTAGTTTAGCAAGCCTAAATAATAGGAGTTAGCGACGTCATTGAATAACATTTTTTTAAATATACTGAAGAAAAATGTTGAAATAAACAATAATTCTAAAAAAAATTTTTTATCTTATACATTAAAAAGCTTTCTAGTATGGCTATATATTAATTTGGTAAATAATTTACTTTGCAGGCTAATCTGTGCGGACACAATATGCCGAATCCTAAAGGTGGTGGAATTTTTCTGAGTAGATTTATAACGTCTAAATGCTTTATACGACCTCTACAAAAAAAATAAATAAATAATCCCCGTTTTATATCTAATATGTTCGAAAGTATGGTATAAATCCTTTAAATTAATGGTGATCCCAGCATTCAAGGTTTGATTGCCAGCAAAGATTTCAAATAAATTCTCCTATTAAGATTAAAAAATCTCCTGGAAATATAAGATTATATAAGAGTTTATTTTTAAAAAAAATTCAACATATTTAAAGCCTGTTAATAGCAAGCGAAAATAGCCATAAATAGCATTGTACAGAATATAGAATGCGAAATTATACAGCTATATTATCGTTTAACCATGAACATCGTATGGCTTAACCATCATCACGTTTACTATAAACGATGTCTTATAATATAACAAATTATTTTAAATATATAGTCTGAAAATAAAATACTTTATAATATAAAAAGGTGATTTAAAACAAATTCTACATTTTCTGTTTTGGGGTGAGAAACATATTTTAAACAAGTTAGGCTCTTTCTATGACACCTTGTAATAACGTCACTACATACAACCGTAACATGACTATTTATTAAAGTAGTGATACAACTTTCTGAATATAATCTTATTGAATTAATATGAAACTTCGCTTCTGGGTCATATTCTGACCATAATCGTACGAATTCGTCCAAATGATGAGGGCCTAATATAGACCAATCCCGCGTTAAGTAATCGAAATTGTCCATTATGACGGCCACGAAAAGATTTATAATCTGTTATAAAAATTATGAGTCATAAAAAAATTTATATATTTTTTGGATAATAACAATAAATAGTTAACAACTCCATAAAAAAAATTCACAGCCGTATATTTATTCTTTCTTTCTTTAATTGGTTTATTAAAAATTTTATATTTATTTTTTCGAATCATTTAGAAATTAACTAAGACTGGGTTATTGTTTTTAAATGTTCGAAATATTTTATTAATTAATAAATGTAGAATGAGCTTTCGTTAATTGTGAATAACAATTATAATTGTAATATCCTTGATATAATTAATTATAATATTTACCTAGAATAACGATACATTCATAAAAATGTATTTTGAAGTGTTGTAAAATACAAATAATCTGGTGATACGCCATTTTGGTTCTCCATAAATCAAACAGTTTTTTTTTAAAAATGTTTTCATAAAATATTAATATAAAATTATTTTCATGGAAAACCAAAATGGCGTGTCACCAGCCAGCTGATTTGTTTTAATAATTAATACAAATTTAAATGGATGAATCTTTAGTCTAGGTAATATTATATGTCATAGCCTTTAATAACATTTATTTAGGTTTTCAAATTTTTCTGAATGTTTCATTGATTATTCTTTTTTTTTATCAGGGGAATCTTAAATTTAAAGTTACCCCTGATGAAAATGGGCAAACTATTGTACCCAAACTCTATAAATTTCAGTGAACTCATTTATGTAGCCAGGATTATATGTTAGGGAAGAAGGATACTTATTGTGTTTATGTTTTTGGAGAGGGGGGAGGGGATATAGCGTGCTAATTTTAATTAACCTAAAATGATTTAAATTGGCAAAGGAAATTTCCTTGTTTCTCCCTCACTTGTCTATGCCAATGAGTTATCAGCGAACTGTTGATTAAAGTTAACAATCTTCTAAATATGCCCATAAAATGATTGAAGAATAAATTTTGAAAAAAATGAATTATAGAATGAACATGAAAAATAAATGAACCAAGAATGAGCAAAGAATGTAGAATGAGATAAAGTAAGGGAAGGCAAAATCGGACCCACAAAGAAGTCCCTTCGCTTCGGAATGTGGGTTACAAACGGCTTGAGGGGTGTTCGCGCAAGCCAACATGATCTCTTGCCAGGCTTCGCCGGTTGCTGAACTAAAATAATTGAAAAAGTTAATAATATAAGTATAATATATAAAAATTGAATTTTTACTAACTTTTAATGAAATAAAAAAACTATTTCAACCTTTAAGTTTCAAAAATAATTATGAATAACTATATTTAATAAAGCGTAAAATCTATCCTAAAAAAATCAGTCAAGATTTTTTTAAACAATAGAATCATCATTATTAGTATAACAATATTACAATTATTCGTTTAGTATGAATAATATAATATTCAATTTGTACGAATAATACAATTATTCAATGTGATTCATGAGAATACTAAATTACATCATTCATAATTTTCGAAAAGAATCTCGTTATTCGATTCGAATTTTTGGAGGTTTAGAATATTTTATATATGCCATCACTTGAGCGTTGAAGTGAAATAACTAATGCTCTTTTTTAAATGAGATAACTGAGTTATGAGTATACGCGATAAAATAGAAGACCTCAAAAAAACTAGCGAAATTCGTAAAATTTTTAAAATGATACTTCGTAACAGCTGTGAATTTAATATAATTTTTATACCTAAGATATAGGTTAAATTACCTATTTAGAATTTAACTTGTGACGTGTTGACCAAGAATGCATTGAGGGTAGGCTAAGGGTAGGTATATTTTTCGCCTTCATTCTTATAGATAATACATATATTAAATTCTGATCTTCCTTTACTTTTTCCGAAATTTTAGATGGTTCACTTCAACACTCACATGATAATGTGGAATATCTAAAAATAAGTTATTTCTCTTTGGGATAATATTGAAAAAGGTTATAATTTTTTTAAAACAAAACATTCAAATTACTATTTCAAAATATAATTATTCATGTTTTTTGGGAACATGTAGTCCTAATTAGAGGTCTACAATGGGCGGATTTCTAGCCAAAAAGCCCACCCCATCGTTCTTTTGAATATATGCAATATAATGTAATAAAACAATTATTTTTATTAAATTGTAGTTATTTCTGCTCAATTCGGATGAAAAATATTAAAAATTCGCCCGGCCAATACTTTAAAATTTCTTTTAACCCGCCTGATGCTGAAAATATTTTAGAAAACCTGACCATGCCCACCCGAAGTATGAGCAGGCTAAAACCCGCCCATTGCAGACCTCTAGTTTCAATTTCCGTCTTATAGAATGAGTATACTTTTTATTATATTATAGTTTATGCTTGGAATTTAGTCCATACTTCAAAAAAATAAATAGGATATTCAGGGTAGAAAAGGAGTAAGAAGGAGTTATAAGAAATAAATTGTAATCTATATGTTAGGTGATTAATTTTTTTTAATCAGCTATAAATGATTATTAATATATTAATTTAAATTAAAGATTCGGAATGAATTCAAAGTTGTAAAAAATAATGGATGGAATTTTTAATCAAAAATGCTAAACTAGGCAAAATAATGGCGGACATTATTTAAATAAAATATATAAAAAAGGTCCAAACTTTATTATATTACAGGCAAATTTTATAACTTGTAAATTACTCAATTATCCCACGAATAAAAAAAATGAGATATCAAGTATATTTAGGAGTTTAAAAAAAGCTGGCTGTTGCTTATTTCATATTCAAATGTTATTGGTAAAAATTTGAAAAGTTAGAATATTTTTATCGTAATATAATATGATCAAAACAAAAAAAAATTTTAGGCATAAAACCTAAATAAAAATTTGGGTTTAAGATTAAATTTATTTTTTCTATAATTTTATTTTATTTTTAGATGTGAATGTTGATTAGAATATTTATAAATAAACATATACATTAAGTATATTAGGCACGATATAATTATAGTAAAAATACAGCTTAAACAAAAAAATTTATTAAACAATATATTATTTTAGTCTAAAAAAATCATTTTTTACCGAAAAAGAACCAATAAAGCTAAAGGGAATGATGCGAAATTATTATTGCGATGTATTTCTGTTTCGGGGTTCATAGCTATTCTTCCAAAAATCTGTGTTTGTATCAAAGTAATTATTTTTATAGATGATGACTATATTTTATTAAAAGAAGTTATTAAATAAAGTTATTAAGGTAAATTATCTCCTGAGGAATCGCCAGAGTTAAGCAGGTCCTTTAAAAAAAGATACAGATTCTTTATGATAAAATGTATCATAGATATATATATATTATTAAAAATATATAAGATAATTGTATCTTTTGATAAACGAGAATATATTTAAAGGCATTTACTTGAAAAAATTTATCTGATTAATATTTATTAAATTAGAATAATTTGAGATAAAATTAGATTTTATATAATTTATTTTCACAGAACATAAATATATAGAGAAAATATTCATATTCTTGCCATGAATAAAAATGTTAATATAGCTCCATTCATGATTAGCGTAATAACCATAACCCTGAGTTATAATATAATTATCCGCATTTCAGAAAGTTTCATAATCATGTTTAAATAAATTTTAAGAAGGTAATAATCATATATTAGAAGAAGGGGCTAGTAGAATCAAGGCTAGTCGTCAATTAATAATATATTTATTTAATATTATAAAATAAATAAGTATTCACTGACTACTATTATAGATTTAAATTAATTTTATATGATAATGCAATAAAATTAGGAATAAATAAAAAAAAATTATTAAAAACTTTACACATTTTTTCAAAATCAAATAATATCATATTTTGCCATTATTTTTATGCAAATGGTATATTATATCAATAAAACAAATGGAATAATAATATTAATTATGCTATAAGAGTTAATAAACCAATTAATAAATCTACAAGCCCCGGGTTTGGTATTTGTTGGGGAAAATTTACTTATACTAGAATCAATCTTGAAAAAAAAGTATAAATATTTAAACTTTAGATAAGTGTTTAGACCAGGATTGGCAAGTCGATCAATTGACCGATCAAATTCAGTCAATTGACTGGAAGAGTATTTGAACTGGTCAAATACTCTAAAAAATTAAAAATATGTTTGAAAAAAGGAAAAAACTATATAAATATATGTGATCACCTTATTTATTGGGTACCCAATACCAAGAGGAGCATCTTACTGTAATGAATTTGATGAATCATGTGCTATAATACAAGAATTAGGCATTTTACAATGTGATGATGATCAAAATATTTTAAGTGATATAATAATTTCAGAAGTAAAATTGGCATGTTTAATAGTGAATTATGTAACTAATACAAAATAAAAATTTTAAAAACATATTTGAATTTGACCATATTTAACCGGTCAAATACACAACCCTGGTTTGGACTTCTTATGATATTTTGTAAATTCAAATACAACAATTATTTTCGGGCCTATAATGATTTTAACCCGACTAGTCCTGGTCTCCACTATTCTAATTGTTGCGTTATAATCTAATTCTTTTTGTTTTTTGCATTTGAATTTTTTGTAATCTAATTTTTATTATTTTTTGTAATTTAATTTAATAACTTTATTGCGTAACCTTATTTTTATAACTTTCGGCGTAACCTTACTTTTTATATTTTATAATATTTTTACTTTTTTGTTTTTCGTTTGTATTCTAATTTGGACTTATAAAAATGTATATATACCTTAAGAAAAGAAAAAGAAATTAGTTAATAAAATATATTTTTACTGACTCGCACCTCGCGCCATATCGTTAGTTGCCTTATTCTTTGCATGGTGCCCCGGCTCTGGGTGGTGGACTAGAAAAAGATGACTACCTAATCTTCTGAGATGACTATCTAACCTATGGAGACTGCTTAACCTATGGAGATGACTACCTATTATGACTACCTTATCTATTGTGACTACCTAATCTTCTGAGATGACTATCTAACCTAGGGAGACTGCTTAACCTATGGAGATGACTACCTATTATGACTGCCTAATCTATGATATGATCAATGCCTAATCTACTGAGATGACTATCTAACCTATGGAGACTGCTTAACCTATGGAGATGACTACCTATTATGACTACCTTATTTATTGTGACTGCCTAATCTATTGATATGACCAATGTCTAATCTATGGAGATGACCAAGAATCAAACCTTAGCACGTTCTTTCATGCAAAAAGCTTCTTTTCTCATGGTGTCCTGGCTCTGGATGTTGGACTGGAATATGATAACCAGCACCTAACCTAATGTGACAACCTAGAAAGAACTGATATGGAAGTTGAACGATAGGTTATGAATTCTATTTTGTGAGACCAATGATGATTACTTATTATTCTAATCCACGTAGGAAGAAAAGTTATTAAAAATTAAGATTTTATGCCAGGATAAAGGCATGTTATAAATTTTTAAAATCACTAAAATGTAAAATCATAATGGATATATTTGAACACACAAAAAGCCTATAAAAAATTATTTATAATTTCTTAGTGAAATATTGATACTAAAATGTAAAATCATAATGGATATATTTGAACACACAAAAAGCTTTTAAAAAATTATTTACTTAAATTTTTAGTGAAATATTATCTTTTGATTTCTTGAATGATGACCAATTGTTGTAAATTAACAACTAATCCTAAAGATGAATTCTAAGATATAATTAAAAATAAACCATTAAAAATCCTAAACAAGAAGATAAAACTTTAATTTTAAATGTATTAAAATGTAATCAAAACATATGAATTAAAAGGTTTAAATCACATGATTGATTTAAATAATCCTTAATGCTTAATATGATAAAATATATCCATTATGATTTTACATTTTAGTATCATTATTTCACTTAGAAATTATAAATAATTTTTTAAAGGCTTTTTGTGTGTTCAAATATATCCATTATGATTTTACATTTTAGTGATTTTAAAAATTTATAACATGCCTTTATTCTGGTATAAAATCTTAATTTTTAATAACGTTTCTTCTTACGTGGATTAGACTAATAAGTAATCATCATTGGTCTTTTAAAATAGAATTCATAACCTATCGTTCAACTTCCATATTTTTTGTAATCTAATTTTTATTATTTTTTGTAATTTAATTTAATAACTTTATTGCGTAACCTTATTTTTATAACTTTCGGCGTAACCTTACTTTTTATATTTTATAATATTTTTACTTTTTTGTTTTTCGTTTGTATTCTAATTTGGACTTATAAAAATGTATATATACCTTAAGAAAAGAAAAAGAAATTAGTTAATAAAATATATTTTTACTGACTCGCACCTCGCGCCATATCGTTAGATCCTTATTCTTTGCACTAATAATATTTTACTAACCAAAACTACAATAACAAATAGAAATTACTCAAATATTACTAATTTTATACCCAGCATTTTGTTCATATGACATTTTAACAAATAGATATATTTCATTTCTCTTAAAGATGTTGATAATTTGAATATAATGACAAAATAATATTTAAATTATTGGTATCTGAAGAAAGGGTAAATTCCATAATCAAATATAAATAAGCATAAACTTTACAATATTAAAAATCTATTCATTATTTTATTAGTTTTAGACAGTACTTTATAGTTTAATTAAATATCTAATTTACAAAAAGGGTAGAACGAAATTTGGAACGGAATCATAAAATTAAATTATCTCATTTTATAATAATTCTTAACTAAAGATAGGAGAAAGAAAAAAACAAAATTGATTTAAAAATTCAAATATAAAATAAGGTAATAACTAAAAAAGCATCTGTATATTTTGTCAAGAAAATAAAAAAGATACAAGGATCTTTTAAAATAAACACGGATAATAAGTAACTTATTTAAAAAAGGATATTAAATGCAAAGGATCTTGTATTTTAGATACAAGTATCCTCAGTACTACCCAACTCTGGGAGTCTGCTTGAGATACCGAAATATAAAACTGTTCTAAATTATTTATCTCCCCCCCCCCCATCCCCCTATACGTTAAACCCCTACGGATATTCAACCTTATTAAACAAATATATGAATCATATTATAATGAATAAAATATAAATAAATTTATTATACCTGCATTCCTATAACAGCATATATGAAAAATAGCATGACTATAAGTAACGCCACGTAAGGTAATGCCTAAAATATATTTTTAAAATTTATCACAAAAAGCTTTGCATAATTTCTTTTATAAAAAATACATTTAAAGAACTACATGAAGTCAAACATTTAAAATTAAAATTTTATAAAAGTCCTGAATCCATTTCCAATGCAAATTTTTTTACAAAATATTATTCAAGAGACCTGCCCAAAAAACTTTTTCAAACGATTTTTAAATTTTATCTATCTTTCATTTACTGGCTTCAGTTAAGCTTAGAAAAATGAGCTTAATCTAGAATATCTGGGTGGGAGGTTGGTTGTAAAGGGGTGGGTGACCACACCCTAAGAATAAATAATTCGATTCCGACCAAAAATGGAGTTAGAACCTGATATTAAAAAGGGGATAAAATTGTTGGTTAAACTTGAAACGATTTCATGAATGTCCAAAGCAGAGTCCGAATTCCCTCACCTCTGCTTAGCAACTTAACCAGTCTCATGACGCGGAAGAGCCGAAAAAAATTTATGCTAATGATACTGGCACCAGGCTAATTAAATAAAGATAATATTGATATAAAATTTTTTTTTTTAAAAAAAAATTTTATTATAAAAAGGCATTCACAAATATAAAAAAATATAAATAAAATGCGTAAAAAAATATAGGGCAAGAGCATGCATAAAAAGCAAAAAATAAAATTTGCACAAATTTATCGTATATATATATATACGTTATATAATATAGATGTTTGTAAGCTCAAAATATATATTTTATAAATAATAAGATTGTTGTAAAGCTTGATTCGTTCATGAGCAAAAATAAATGCTTCAAATACCAATTTTTGAAAATAAAAATTTAAAGAAATATATTTATTTTGAAATCATTCATTAATAATTAAAAAAAGCCGGGCGATGTTAGTTCGTATTAAAGCAAAGGCATTAGTGGCGCATAATTATAACTGTAAGCCGAAAGATAGTAACATAAATTGGTTAAAAAAAATAAGCAAAATAAATTGTAAAAATCGATATTTGGAACTTGCTTCAATATTTCTAACCTCTGCCAACTGCACACCAACCCATTGTATTTTTTTTAGCAAAATCCGTTATAAATTTTATTGTCACATTTATTTTTCAAATCCCCAAGCGATTAGGGCAAATTCGGAAAAATGTAAAAAAAATTAAAAAATAAAATAAATGTGCAATAAATATGTATTACTTCATAATAATATAAAAAATTAAATGAACTAATACTATTCACCTATCCGTCATTTAATACTATATTAATATTAGTCGCTAGAGTAATAGAGTGGATATAAGCGCAATATTTTGAAAATATGGCAAGATCGTTTCAATATTTAAAGTTATTATAGATTCTTGATAAGGTTGTTTGTTATATTACATAAAATTTATCCCTATTAATATTATTTATGTTTTTCAGAACTTGATCTCAAGTGTTTCCGCACTTTTTTGCGTAACAACAATATTAGGTTTCAACATCAGTAATGTTAAAATATGTTTTAGAAAAATATGAAGATCTCTTCATTATTCCAGCGACAATTTCTCCAAAATAATTTTATATAACCACTCAAGCCCCTATATAAATTACTTAATTAGGCGTTAAATAATTTTTATTAAATGTTTTATGATAAATAATTTTAAATTTGCAAAGATATTAAGTACATCAGTTCTACTTTTAAAATATATGATGATATATTTCTTAAAGCATGATGTCGCCACTTGCAGAATAAGATATTAAAGACTAGAGCTAAAAATAACACTACAAAATTGAATGGAGAAAAATTCGTGTGATAAATCAGACTAATCTTAAATAAATGACAGTTGTAAATAAAAACGATAATAATTTCATCTTAACTAAAATAATATTGTAGATTTTATTGGTTAAAAAAAATGGATTTTAACTGAAATATTCCATATTTTTAAAAATATTTGTGATTCAAAGAATGAGATTATAGGAATATAAAAAAAATTGCCCTAGATAATAGGCAGTTTTTATGGGGTTATATAAAAAGATAATAATTATAAATATATTACGCATGACTTACGTATAAAACTTCGGTGTATATGATATCGATAAAACTACCAAGTACAATAATGAAATCGAAAACATTCCAGGCATCTCCAAAATAATTCTGTTTGGGGAAGGCGTGCAATTTTTTTAATATAAATAATTAAATCCTATCATTCGATTAAAGAACATAATTTCAAAAGTTTTTTTTATATCAGTAATGTTATTAAACGGCTCGATTTGATCACTATTTTAATCAGAAAAATATAGCCTAGGCCTCAAGATTTTGCTAATAGATGTCCAAATTTTGTGCCATCTATGAACAAAATCTTCAGGCTAGTGTAATATTTTTCTGGATAAGATATTGAGTTAGCCGTTTTTGAAATCGGCTTAAATCGAGCCGTCTAACAATAGTATATAGCAGGATTAAAACTAGTTTATAACCGGAACAAATATAAGAGCAAACCTTGGTAAAAGTTTCAAAAAATCAGAATCCCATTTAAAATTTCCAAGATCCGGTTATAACGATATCGCAAGTAATTTATATATATTTTAAAATACTTGAATTATTCATTTTAGTGGGTTTATTTATTGTTTAAATTTTATTTACTTTGGCAGATTTTGAAACCATCAGGACCGCCCCAAAATTAAGAACAGGAGCAAAAACCCATTTTTAAAAAATATTAACGGAATCGAAACCCTATTTATTTCAATTTTCTAGTCACGTGATAAGAAACATTTACAAATGGGTTTATAAAATTATAATATAACTTTTTTTAAACAATAGGTATTACTTTAAATTTAAAGGCTAATAATTTGAGCAAAAATTCGATGGCGAAAATGGCAGTGAAAAACATGTTGAGATAGTCTAATGCCTTAGAATATTGTTCGTCTTGTCCATAAAACTTAAGTTTATATTTAGGATAATGAATTTATTTTTAAAATATTAAAGTCTAAATAAATAAATTTAGGTAATATTTAGTTATTAATCATTTTATTACGAAATTATATGAACACATTATTAAAAGAAAATATTTTAAGTGAAAGATATGAGTTGGCCATTGTCTTTCTTTCCTTTTCCTTCCTTCCTACCTATTTTGAGAGAAAACCCATAAATTTACATAAAATAGTTATGTAATACCTTCATGGCCAAAGATATTGTATTTATCATAATGATGGCGAAAATTCCATATTCAAAACCTTGCGACGTCACAAACCACCAAATTTTATACTGATATCTATTTTTGGGTATGTATCTCCTGATAGGCTTCGCTTTTAAGGCAAATTCTACGCAACGGCGCTAAAACATATACATTTTGAGCATCCATTTATTAAAAACAATAACAGTTTGATTATGATTGATTATTAATACTTTAAAAAAGAATATATAAAATTGAATTCTTAAAATTAAAAATACCTGATTTTTATCGAGTTCGCAATTTTTGTACTCTTGTTCTCCCTCGTTCTGGAATGTGACAATGACAAAACCGACAAATATATTAACCATGAAAAACGCTATCACTATAATGTAAATTATAAAGAAAACGCTGACGAAGGGCCTGTAATTGTAAAAGGGTCCGAGATTTTCTTTGTTAGAATCGATACCCAAGTAGAGTAACCTTTGTAGACAATTTTTTTGAAAAAAGAAATTAAGTATTTATTTTAAATAGGGGTTATAAATTTTTTTTTTAAGTAACATTTTCATTATGTTATATAGAACTTTATTTGAACCAAGTTTGTAAAATTATTAGATAAATTTTTTTTAAAAAAAAAACAACTAATTTTGCAATGTAGATTATATGGGTTATTGCAGTTTTCACTATCCTATCTAAATGGGGAAAAAGATTATGTAAAAAACAGTTTACAGAATAGGGATAAATAATCTAGGAATCGAAACTCCCTTTTAAAACTTCCAGGAACTCGAACCGTTTCTAACAATAACAATCAAATTATAGTGTTCAAAACTTTATTTCATTTTGTTTGTTTAGTGTTTAAAATTTTTTTTAGGAACTGGAACCAGGAAAAACTTTTTAAACATATTGAGAACCGAGTTCCTATTTAGTTCAGGTTCCAAAATATGGGAAAAAAATATATCGCATGTATCAGTGAACGATGCGTCGGTTTGTAAATCGCTTACTTTGGCCTAACATAATTTACTCAAAAAGACAACTATTATAAAATTACTTGGGCCATCCTTCAAACGTAGCGACTGTGAAGAGAGTTAGCATAGCTTTACTCACATCGTCAAAATTGAAGTCGTTCAGTTTCCATTCTCTCGGTTCCATCTTAGGATTGTTTATGTTACCATCCGGATAAACTATGAACTCTCCCCTTCGTTTTTTAAGAAAAAAAAAATTATACTACGTTCTTATCAATTCATGAATATTTTAAAATTAGACTCAATCAATTAGTACCGGGATGGTTTTTAGAATTTTTATTAATACATAATAAACAATATATGCCCATATTTATAATATTTTATACTTGCACGCTTCTAGGGTTATCTTGCCCCTGTCACTACAAACAAAAAATCGACCCTATAATTTTTAAAAAAAAATGATAAATAAAAAAAAGCTAAAAGAAAAATAATCCTGTATATATATTTTTCCAATACTCATTACTATATATTGCTCAAAAGTTTATCAAGGAACCATAAATTTAAAAACATTGAAAATTATTGTAAATGATAAGATTTTAATAAATCTAAATTCTAAAAATGAAAAAAATATTTTTAAAAAGTAGGCCTTCAGTTTCAGATGTTTCAAATGATCAAATATTGATTGGAAAAATTTTAAAAACGAACTTTTTTTAAAAAATAATTGCTTAATTATAAGATTTCATTTAATTATTAAAGAAATTATTATTTTTTTATAATTTTCTTATAAAATCGGTAAACACCGTTAATTATTATTAAAATATTTTTATAAATAATAATTACAGCTAATTAAACAATTTTATATCGGGACTGCTAAATATAAGAAAATTGTAACAAGTAACAATATATCATATTAATCTTTTGTCCAATTTTTTTCGAACCTTAAACAACTGAACACCGATACAAGCGAACATGAATTGAAGTAGAAATGTAACGAGCATAATGTTGCCTATGGTCTTTACCGCCACTATAACGCATTGGACTACGTGCTGTGAGATTAAATAGCAAATATTATTTTTGTATCGATATTTATTTAAGATATAATTATACATGTAATAATGTTTGATATGATTCTTAGAGGCCTGCTAGGTACTCATTCACAAAACTGGCCTATGTTTGTAAAAAAAAATTATTTTCCAGCTTGAGCAGGTTTTTAAGATTTGGCTAGTTTCTACGTGAGGCTAGGGCTTTATTATTAGATTTGGTATGAGCAAGCAGGTCTCTAAAAATCGAAAGAGGAATGAACAAACTTTTAATCCTTTTGCTCTGCTAATAGCTCGAAGTGGACGTAGTACTCTCAAAACTCTTAAAATCTTGATGGCGGATATCGCTTGCTGCCTTTGAAAGGGATTATTATTTTATTTTAGAAATATTGTAAGTAGTTAACATAAAAATAAATTGTCATAATTTAAGACAGAATGCCCGATGACAAAATATGTGGAGGATATAATTTCCAGCATTAAATATAAATTTTACAAAAAATAATATTTTTTATATCTATTATAATTTAAAGATATTTTGCCTTTGGGATCCAATCCAAAATTTTACTCGAGTTTATAAATGATTGAGGATAAATTTTGAATCTTATAATTTATGTTAAAAAAGATATCTTTATATCTTTTACTAAAATGGAAAAATTATAAGTTAGTTTATTTTAGTTATGATAAAAATATGATTTATCATGAAAAGATAAATGTCAAAGTAATGACATAAATTAAAATGCCACAAGACTTTGATGCAAAATTCAAATGAATAATTTTTTTTAAAAAAAGAAGCACTAAATTATAAATAAATATAATAAGTATAAGTTAATTAATTTTTTTTACTTTAAAACGAAAGATAGCAGAGATATGGAAACAACTATCAAGTCCAACAAATTGAAATAATTACGACAGAAGGAACCCTTGTGAAATATCAAACCGTATGCTATCACCTGAATAATTAGGAATGTTTAGTTTTTTTTATCGTTTTTCTTTCTTTCATTTTTTCCTCCTCAAAAAGGGGATATTCAGTCATCAAATTTTTAAAAATAAATGAAATTATTAAAATCTAGATTTCAAAGCTCTAGCTTAATTAGACCCGGCGTTATGTGATTTCTTGGTATTCAATTCAAACCCAATCTTTAACTAAATCTCAAATTAGCATAAAAATATTTATGCCAGAATCATCATAAAATATATTATATATTGTTTTTGTAGCCCATTTTAAGAAAATATTTAAAAAAACAAAATAATTTATGTCATGATATTTAAAAAATTCAAAAATATTTTAATTTTTTTTAAAAGAAACTGATATTTTTGCTCCTTAGTGATTCGAGAATCTCTCAAATTTAAACCATTAAAGAGGGAGGCGATTTTTAAATTTTCAAAATCTGATTTTACCAAAAATTAATACCAGCATGTAAAGAAAGAATAAACCTACCCTATATATTTCAGAGAATTTCGCCATTTATTTTATAGGTGAAGAATTCGATTACATATTAATGTAAAATAAAATTTGCTTAGCTCCTTTTGTTTTTAATATTTATGATAAAAATGCAAATAATGATCGTTTTATCCCAGACTCCCTACATCTATTAATATATTCTATAAAATATTATCATTTATATTTGTGCTGTAGTGTTATTATAAATTTGTGTAAGGAAATACCTTTCAGGGACTAACAGGCGCGTAGCCAGGAATTTTCCTAGGGAAGGGGAGGGGGGGGGGAGTAATTTTTTTTATATTGAAATGATTTTTTTTGAGTATTATAAATTTATTAGAACTACATTATATAAAAAAATTTAGAACTAATTTTCATATAAAATTATTAGAACAAATCATATTTGGAAATATGAAAACGAATAATAAAATATTAAGAGCGAATATAATACGGTAAAAAATATTATGGCTATATAAAATAAACAGGTATGTAAATCAGTATAAAATGTAAAATTAAAAATTTTATAATGATTTAAAAAGTTAGTCCAAATATCATTCATAAATGAAAATTTAATCTTCTTTGCGATTGCGCCAGTTTTTTAATAATTTGTTCTGTGTTGGGAATCAGATCTCGATGAGTAAAGCTAGTCTATTTGTTGTGTTTCAACACTGTTTATAATTTATATTATCCTTTGTTTGTACGATATAACTTGTTTATCATTTATATTTTTCTCTTTGTTTGTACAATATTCGTATATTTCCATTTCCATTTATATTTTTATTTGTTCACTTATACCGAGCCTGTTTTGATTTCATTCTCAAAACTGGTTCTAGCCAGTTTTCGAGATGGACAAGGATGAAATTAATATTTGCTTATTATTGTTTGACTGAAAAAAAGGGGACTATAAAAAGACCATGAAAAAATAATTGTGATCATGAAAATATTTGATTTTGTTTTACGGTTTATAATATGATATGGAATTGATGTTTTACTGTTTGATTACCAATTAAAATAAATTCGTGTTTCATTAATTTTTCGACTCAGTCCCTGAGATTTTATGACGAAAATGATATCCAAATCCGGACCCCATCATCACCATTCTGGACCAACGGACAGTATCTTCCCCCAGAAGGTGGGACCCGTCTGTCCAACCACAATACTATTCAATCAATATTTTAAGATGTCATACTTATGATATAGGTTTTTATTCTCTGTGATGAAGAAAAGGTCATCTCATTTGACTAATTGGTATCATTGCCAAAATATACTGTAGTTTTAATATATTTGGAAAAATTATAAAATATATTTTAAAGTATGAAATACTTCCATTGTATTTCTTGGAGTATCTACAAAAATGAATTTTTCATACCATTTATAGAAATTAATTGGTAAATAAAATTTAGCTAAATATTTAATTTTTCAATATCAATATGCGATTCCTCAGATCAGAGGGAGTTATGAGATATAGTATTTGTAAATTAGATAGAGTCATTTGATAAATCATAAATCGTTCATTGATTTGTGTCAAATCCAAAAGTGAAATAAAAACGGGTTTTTTAATAATGATTCTCAATTGAGTCAACTTTAATATTGAAACAATTTATTTGTCGGTGAAAGTCGAGGTTTATGAATCTCAAAATAACAATCACATAAATCGAGAAATTCCTGGTCGATATTATCTGTTAGTTTTCTAAGTTGTAATATAATTATATTCGCGATTCTCATAACTTCAGCCAAATTCATTTTTTTTGAAATATATTGCATAAGTTGTTGTGTAATAAATTTTATTAATACATTCTTCAGCAGTCATAATAATTCATACGCGTAACCGGGGGGGGGGGCAAGGGGAAATTATCCCACCCCTTCAAAAATTTATCACTTTTCGTAAATATCATTTTTAGCTACCCCCCTTAGTCCTCCCCCCACTCCCTGACCCTTAAAAATGTATGCATATATCTTAAACAATAATTTGAAATAAAGAATGTAAAAGTTGATATTTTTTATAAAACTATTCATCATAATTTATACATTTTTGGAGAAATAAATTTATAAATATATAAAATGAATAAAAAATGTTTTTTAATAAATGGAATATAAGCCAAAGATACGTCTTAAGACATAAGTGAAATGTATTATAATTATAATTATTAATAATAGATCCATAAATTACTAAATAATATAATATATCAAATATAATTTTTTATAAAGTGAGTAATTTTAATTTATTTATCTTAATAAAAGTAAAATATAATTATAAAACTATTGATAAAATTAAATAAAAATATTAAAGCACAATACAAACAGTGGAATATTATATGTCTTAGATTTACAGTATATCTAATTTTATCAATTATCATATGACAATCAAGTAATTTTTACCAATATAGCGAATTATATATTTTACAGAAAACTATAAAATATTGATAAGGACATCAGAAAATATCTTTTAAAGACATCGTGGGATGAAGATTAAATTTTAATATCATTTTTACTTAAAATAAATAGATGGCTTTAAATAATTGAATGCAAATTGTTGCTATTATTTATTATCAAGAGCATTGATTAGTAAAATTTGTTAAATTATTAACAGTAAAATATTCTCTAACTGTGAAATATGTCTGTAAAAGTGGAATTTAACCTAGTATTTTGTAACTAATTCTATATAATAGAGGAATATCAACTATATGTCTACTTACTTTTTATAAATAAATTTCTTATAATTATTTGGAATAAATTATTAATGTATATACAAGTAATTTATTATATTTTATATAAACTAATAAAAATAAATTTCACATAGGGAACCCGGCCGAAGGCCGGGGAAAAGCGGGCCAAAGGCACGCCAAAGGGGATCTGGGACCCCGCCGCTGGCTACGTGCTTGGGCACTAACTTGGTAATAGAACTGGCCATTGAACATTGAATTTTAAAACTATCATTACATTTAAAATTATTTTATGAGCCCAAGATAAAGTTACGCGAAAGATTCAATCAAGCTCGCCTCATTTCGGAAGCTCATAAAAATACAAGTGTTACATTCCTTTTTGGCTTGAATAAACTTCAAAACTACTATATTCAGATGTGGATTACTATAGCATTAATAATATCATTTTTTGGATTAATAAAAGGTTTACAGGCTTTTAAGACAATATTTGTGTTTAGCTAAGGTAATTTAAGAAATGAAATTAGGCAAGAGTAATTGTTATTTTAAATCTTTGTTTATTTACAAAAATTTATTTTTTTAGTGCAATAATGCCTAATAAACTTCATCATCAAAATGATGGACTTCTCAAAACAAATTGTTTAACCCAAAATGCTGAATTTTTCTAAGTATTTTCTTAGACAATTTTTTGGCTACAAAAAAAGATATATAATATAATTAGAATAAATATTTTTTTCGGGTAATTTTAGATTAAACTAAACTAAATAGCGTTCGAAAAAGCTATTTGAGCGGCTCTAAAATTTTATAGCTAAAATTAAACCAGATCGCTTCACTGAGTTTCATTCATTTTAAAAACTGCAATTATTATGTTTTTCTTGCTTCTTCTAATTTTTTTATTTCTATCACCTTTCTGGAAAAAAATTATAAATTCTTCTAAAAATAGGAGTTTGATTAACCCAACCTTACCATCTATAAAAAATCTTCATTTCACCATTAAAGAGTTAAAGCATGTCTTTACTAGTTCTTATGCAAGCATGCCAAAAAGTCAATTTCTTGATTTTCTGCTCAAAAAATATCTTTCTAAAGTTAGAAAATATTTTAGGCTTTACTTAAAATAAATTTAAACGATGGTATTGGATTCATTTAAAGTTATATTAAAAAAGCTTTACTACATATATAACCAATTAATAATAAAAATAAATCTTAAAATGGTAAAAATGCTTTATTAGCCAAAATATAGAGTATCCAATTAAAATTATAAGAAAAAAACGGTTCTTTTGGCAGAGAGAATATATTAAAACACAAAAAATAATAAATATAAACTAACCTTCAACATGATTTCGATGGAAAACATGCAGGTGAAGAAGTAATCAAAATAGTTCAAAATCTAAAATTATTTTATATTACAAATATAAATAAATTAAATAGTATGCAAATAAATTATGTTATTTTTTTAAAATAAATAACTATATAATGTGGAATTCTTAGGAGAAAGTGGGGTAATTATAAGAGGGAGACCCCTTCAATTTGAAATTCCCCCTTCCTTAAATCAGATTTTAAAATTTGATTAAAATGGATTCGGTTTATCTTAATTTGGGTCCAGTTAGGACAGTAAGGAGAACTAATTTTGTTAAATTGTAAAATATGACGGAATGGTCTATGGCCTTTGTCCAGGATTGTCTGAGTGAAGCCAAACCTGGTCTAATAGAATGGAATAGGATTTAATAACATTTTGAAAATAGCACAATATTTATTAATAAAATGATGCAAAAGACGATTGATGATTAATATAACAATAAAAAATAAATAGATTATCTATAAAATTTACCCTATTGCGAGCTGAGGAGAAATTTAAGGGATCTTCGGCGGCTAACATGATACTACTAACCAGGATACAAACCAATATAATATTGTTAAAGTAGGTATGGTTGGCTATCATGTGGCAAAACAGGCGGAATCTAATATTTTTATTAAACATTTTAAGGTATGTAATTATAATTTCGATTCTTAGCAATGGTTTAAATTTAAACATTATACCTCATAAAATTTTATTTAAAGTCATTATCAGTATCATTGAATAAGGATCATCATATAAACATCAATTTCCAACGGAGTTAGAGAATAAAAAAATAAACGACTTTTCTTAGATGTTATATTAATTCGACATAAAAATAAGCTCAGTCTATCGTAAAACCACACATATTAGCCCCTATTTTGATGCCAAATCTCATCATCATCCACGTTAACTTTATTCGATTCTCCATTATATCGTGCTTATTCTATGTCCATTCATTTAAATAATTAGATTTTCTCAGAATAATATTTTCCACAAAAAGTCCATCCAGTTCCCGTAGTATTCTTAATAAAATTAATACGAAATCAAAAGATGTACACTAAATGCAATTATTAATAATAATTTTCAAAAAACGAAACTCTTAACGATATCCATTTTAAACAATTTCTTTGTTCTCCATGAGATCCGATTTTATTGGTAATATTGTTTTCAACCCTTTATGCCTTTGCTTATCAATAAAATTTAAAACGGCAACCATCATTTTGGTTTGATTGATAAGTCTTTTGAGAATCCATAATGATTTAAATTATCAGACTAGTCTTTAATGTTGATGATAGATATGGTGGTTCAGCAAAGCATGTGATCTAGTAAGCTGCAAATCTTGAAAAATTATATTGTTGCTTGATCCTCTTTTCAATTGTTCTTCCAGGTTGTGCAAAAGGCACAAGCAATGAAATATATTCCCCCATATTTAAGATTATTGTTAATCAAATTCTTGAAAATTCGTTTAATAAAAATTTTATTTTATAATTAAGTTTGCTCTATTTTTAACGGATGAAGAGCAAATGAGATGAGCATTTTTAAGTATACAAATTTATATGATTTTAACATTAATTTTAAATCGGACCGGACCTCAACAATTAAATTAATTCTTTTCAAAAATAACATAATTTTATTTTCCTCCAGCGCTTATAATTTTCCCCGCTTTCGTTAAAATATCATAATATTTACAAAAGTCTATATTTTTTCTCGGATCGGATTGGACCTGAAAAAATAGGTGCGATTCAGAGCCCTAATTCCTTATAGCAGATAGAATTATTAAATAAAACTTATGTAATTAAAATATTGTTTAAAAAAAACTTGTTCTTGTAGCTAAAGCAAAAGAGAGAGCTAGCCATAGGAATAGGCTTAACTTTTTCCTTGATATTAACTACGGAGAGACGTCGCGGGCGGGCTGTAGTGGAAACTCCAGTATCTGAATCCTCATCTTCACTGTTCGTTCGACTGCTTGAAGAAAGTGTAGATTTACTACTATTCATGAGGGTAAGGGTATTAGCCGGGCTTTTAGGATCTTAGTAAAATTATTGAAAAGGAAAGGAAGAATGAAAATTTTTAATATTTATTTGTACTGATAAAAGCGAGTAAAAAAAATATTTAAAGTAAGAAAGATCTGACATAAATATCTATTTTAAACATTTCAATTTTAAATAGTTTAGTGATGTAACCCTCATGTCTTTACGCGTTAAGAAAAAAACTCATTTTATAATTCAAAATGATTTTGTCAAAATACTTCAAAATGATTATCATACTACATTATTTCTCCCCATTTTTTCTCTCCTCCCACTCCTCACTACTTTCTTTAAAAAATAAGCAAACATGATATAAATTTTTTAATTATAAACTATATACCTTCTAAGTTCGGCCACTAACCGCAATCAATTATTATAAATATATTTAAACACCAGACTATAAGGTAGGCCCTAAATGATCCTCTCTCACTTAATCAAAAATCCTAATATAAGTCGGGTTTTGATTGAAAATTAATTAATTTCTAAATTATTATAATTAATACTATAACCATCTCCAAGAGGGAGTGTTTTTCTTAAAATTATAACTAACAACAAAGAATTTTACCTTTTTCAGCGTCGCCCACAATACCCTGATCGGAAGAACTATTAATGTTATCTAACGAGTCTTTAGATCTTATAACAGATCTCCTAGATAGGACGTCGGAAGATTTTCGGTCATTTACTGATAGGGAATCTTTTTTATTTAGTTGTACATCGTGTACATGATTAGCGTCTTCTTTTAAGCCTTCCTCGAACGTCGTGCTTTTTTCTCGCGATTTTTTACGCTTAGTGTAGAAATGTGTTTAATAAATTTTCAAATATTTGTATATATTAATTTAAAAAAATTCTAATATTATATAGAAACACTCCCCCCCCCCTCCCCACCTATTATTCATCCGACCAAAACTTTTATAATAATAATACAACGAGATATCTAGGACGTGTTTCGATGCACCCACAAAACAGAGCATGGTTCCGCCATTTTGCATATTTTAATTTAAAGCTATTAAATTTCAAAAACCATTAGCCCAAATAATATGGAAATCGATTGGTGAAAGGAAATATAACAATAATATTTTTTGAGCAAAGAGTCGGCCTTTCAGGACTATAGTTCCGATCCCTGATTCGCGATATTTCATGGAAATTTTTAATATCTTAAACCTTTTTTTAATTAGAAAATTCAAATTTTGTCAAATTAGATATTAAAATTATAGTTCCGATGTTTTGGTGAATTTAATTTAAAGGATTTCTATCTACATAAAATATTTTAATTCTTCGTTAAACAAAAAAACATGTAAAACGTTACCAAATCAATAAACGTAGTAATATTTTGGTAAGACAAATAACAGAGTAAGAAGTAGTGAGGATGTCAGGTCAACTCCAATGGCCACTTATCCCCGACTTTCCCCATAGGTGCGACAAAAATTTCCCATTTTTTTTTTTGAAACCTAAATAAGTAGGCTGTTTATTATTGATAAATTAGATTATTTTGTCAACAAAATTGAAAACGGGTAGATAGATGTATAACATATATATTTAGATATTTTTATCATTAAATATATTAATGGGGGAAGGGGGGTTATAATATACTTTAACAATATGATCTTCTTCTTTCTCTATCTCGGTCAAGCTTTCGGCATCGGCTAAATTATCAACGGCAATAGCCAAAAAGACGTTGAGCAAGACGTAATTCCCGAAAATAAAAAGAATGATGAAATAAAAACACACGATAACACCTATTGAACCAACGCCTCCGTACGATCTGATACCGTTGTACATGACCTCGTTCCAGTCCTCACCGGTCAGAATCTAATAAATGATACAAAAAAGTGTAACAAAAAATATAGCTTCGACATTCTTTTAAAAATCTAGATACCCCGGTCCTAATAAAATAATATTACATCATACACTTAGTTATATAGTACATAGACTAATTAACAAACACATTTGGGCAAAAAAATACCCTTATAGTAAATTAATATTTTATTAATTGTTCAAGAGCTTAACATTGATAAGATATAATTTTATTGGATAAATATTTCATTTTAAATTGGTGTCTTAAAATATTATTTTAAAAAAAGCAATTAATATTTCATAATAATTTCTTTTTATCTAACAATCATTTGCATAATATTGATTAACATCTATTAGTTTATAGCAAAAAATATATAAAAAATAATCATTACATTTATTAAGCTATAATTTTTTCTGCCCCAAGAGGGCACTTAAATAATTAGGCTTTTATTGTTTTTTGTAGACAAGTATTACAAAAATCTTTTGGAATAGATTGAAATTGAGATTGCCCAAAGAAAAAAAGTTAAAACTTAACAGCTTGGTTTTGGACAGATTAAAAAGTTTTTGCTAGTAAAATCGTATTACAAAACCTTATTCAAAGTGTTACAGATGTTAAAAAATATTTTAATATTAATCAAAATATTAATTTAAATTAAAAAAAAACTTTTAATTTATTATGCTAATTTCAAATTTACATATATATATGTTATAAAAAAAGGGAAAACAACGTGCACAAAAAATATTAATGTTAAAACTAATCATTTAGTGGGATGAGGCTGCCCATGAGCTAATGTAATTAGCCCTGTGAATCGCTATGGAGAGTCTTTGTCTTAAGAAAAAGCCTTCGCGAGGTTCATCAGAAAGTTTACGAATGTGCGAGCCAAGTTCCTTGAAAAAGGAATGCATGATTCCCAAAAGTAGTTAAGGTGGGAATGAATATGTATTCTTGTGATACTTTAGAATATTTTGCTATTTTTAGTAACTCCCTTTTCTTCAGAATGTTAATAGTTTGATTGGATGGAGCCAAAGGATCAATACACGAGTAATCCCAGACCAGGAATTGACCACGCTTTCAAGGAATTTGAGATCTCATCCGTTTCCCATCAGATCTGAAAAGACCAGAAGGTTCAAGAATAGAAGGAATTTGAGCTGATCTCAAAGGCCTAAGGATAATCGAAGTACAAATTATGTCTAACGATTCGACCTTTAAAAGAGCGATACTGGAGGCTATGTCTTCCATTACCCACAACGGTAGAACTACAACCTGAACAAGTGTGGGGTTGGGTTATTAGGCAGTTTAAACAAATATCAATGGAGTGAGTGAGCTCATTTTGATTAAGTTTTAATTATAAATTAACTGAGGGAATGGCTTCAAGGAACTCATGGCCAGATCTTAAGCAGCGAGGAGAATAAAGGGCGGTCAGAAAATTGCTTTCTAGAAAGTAGTGATTCAACGCAGCTTGCAATAATAAACCCATCCCAGTCCTTCTTCCTATTCGTCTCTAAAAGTGGGTGATCAGCGATAATCCGTGATTTCCACTCGATAATAACACCATTATAGGAAGGGTCAGGTTTTATCAAATGGGAATTTATAATATTTTTTGTTGAAAGACAACTGGATATGAAGTCAGTTAGGGCAAGATCGGAAGGAGATATGATACCAAGTCCACCCATCTTGGTGGGTAAAGAGGCTTGAGTCCACGCGATTTAATCGAATTTAAGGTTTAAAATATTTTCGATTAGGACTTTAATCCAATTTTCATAAACACCTAGATGTAAGGGATATTTAAAAATGGAAGTTGATCGAAGCGCATATAGGATACGAGTAATAAAAAATTTTTCAAGAGGAAAAAGGCTTTATGGGAGGGGAGAAGGAAAAATAAATCAGCTAACTCAAAAAGCGTTTCAAGTGTGGAATGTAGGAAGGAAGATATCGCTGTGTATCCCCCAAGAGGAGCGCCTAAATGATTTAGTTCATCAAGGGTGGTCAGTTTGAAGTTGTGTGAATTAAGTTCAATTGATTAGATAGATTCGAATTTCTTAGGAATAATATAGCAATAACCGTCCCAGCCTCCTTGATTAAATTCACTGTTATTGACTTCGTCATTGGAACCACCAAGGATATCATCACCAATATACCAGGCATGTAATGATAACACGTCGAGTTAATGGATTTAACGATATCGTTGATACCTAAACAAAAAAATAAGGTACCAACCCTGTTGAATGCCATCAATGAAAGGAATTTTATAAATATCAAATTGCAGGGTGGAAGGCAGATGATAACAAGAATGAAAAAATTTTGTGTAACCGGGAAAAAGAGTAAAAGAGGAACCCAGTAAGTAATTCCGAGAAAGTGTATTATAATAGGCATTGGAGAAGTCAATTTTGACTAAACTCATTGGTCGGCCTATTTTATAAATGAATTCTAGTTAAATGTACAAGAGCTTCACAGTTACCAGGGATTATTCCAACACCAAGTTGGAAAGGGCTCAGGAGACAGAGGCTTCATGCTTTATTCGAGAAGATATCATCTTGACAACTAAGCGGCGAAAGGTAGAACCTATTACAATTGGTCTAATATCATCATTGGACTTTGGAGTGCAATTAGCCTAGCACCGAGGAGGATTGGAGAAACAAAGATAGGTACTTCACCTTTTAAAATTTTATTGCAAAGGTTTGTTATTTTAGTAAGAATGGGAGTTTGTGAGCATATTGAGGGGGAAGTGATGTCCTGGAGAAATATAGGGCGGGTCAAATCAAGACCATGGGCAGAATCTCAATGAAAGGAGATAGATTTCCTCCTTCTTCAGAAGTAAATAGAGAAGCACATGTTGAGTGATTTTTCCTAATAAAAAGTTAGCCGTTTTTAAATATAGGTTAAAATGAGCCATTTAACAACACTAGTTGTGGGGATATTGGTTACAGTGGGGTGTTTTTAACAGAGCTTAATATATGTATCATAGGATCGGAAAAAGAGTCATGTGTGGAAACCAATCTGAGTGAACCTTTTATGGTGAGATTGTCAATTTTCTTGCAGATTAAGTGAGGGTTTTCTTTTGTGTTGGCAAGCAATGTCATCCCGTATTCATGGAGATGTGGGGCAGCAATGGATGCAGCCTCTTTAATTTGCTAGGTAAGGGATTTATGTGAAATTTTGTCGGACATGCTGAAGGTGTTATATCCATAGAAAGGGAAATTTAGCCATTCATTCTCATTACTAAGGTTTAGCAATAGAAAGGATAGACAATCAACGAAAGATTTAGCAACTTGCAATCTTGCACCTTTGGAGATCCTTGAAATAATATTTGGTTTGGAATGGTCAGGAAAAAAATCTGAGAAGCAGGAATTTGAATTGTGAAGAGGTGTAACAACATTTTCTGGAGGAATAATCGATTGACTGATAGAGACAGTGGAGCAAAACCAGAATGTGGACATCTGACTGAAGGTGGTCCATGAACTTGTAGGCATCCATCTTTTCTAATATGTACTGATTTCAGACATGAAGGAGAGATTTGTGAAGAAGACATAAAGAGAAAAAAAAATGGGTAATAAAATTTTTGGAACAATGAAGCAGAATCGTAGAAGGATATAACTTCAGGTTATGGAGCAGCACTTTGGTGGTGACTACCACAATAAAGGGCACAAGTCAGCAAAAAACTGTATACAAATGAATAACTCCAAATTTAACCATAAAGACATATATTATTGGTATGTTTTACTGTATTAAATAAGTCGAGCATGGTAATATGAATAATATTGAAACGCGATAAATAAAACTGAATAACGAATGCAAAAAATAAGTGATATGCTCGGAATAAGAGGTTTTAATTAAACAATAATAATTAATTTTTGAAAAAGTTCAGAGTTCATCGTGAATGGATTTAAGAAAAATAAAATTGCGCGATAAATAAAACCGAATTTCGAATGCGAAAAATCAAAGATCGATATTGTAACTGAGGGGAACGTATGCACAATATCACAAATAAGGATCCAATAAATTGATGTGCTCGGTATAAGAGGTTTTTAAAAATAATTTTAAAATGCCGTTGAAAAAGTTGAAAGTTCATCGCTAATGGATTAAGAATAAAAAAATAGCGCGATAAATAAAGCAGAATAGCGAATGCAAATAATAAAGGATCGATGATTGAATATGAGAGGGCACGATACCAACAATAAGAATCCAATGAATTAATATTCTCAGTATAACAGCTTTTTAAAAAATATTTTAAATTATAAATAATTTTTTAAAACATAATATTTTTATCTTTCGTTGTCTATCCTCCCTATTGCTAAACTTTAGTAATGAGAATGAATGGCTAATATTCTTTTTTCTATGGGTATAATACCTTCAGGATGCCCGACAAAACTACACATAAATCCCTTACCCAGCAAATTAAGGAGGATGCATCCATTCTTGCCCCTCATCTCTGTGAATACAGGATGCCATTACTTGTCAAAAACAAAAAAAAACTCTCACTGATTGAGATAAAGGTCAATCTGATCTGCAAGAAAATTGACAATCTCAACATAAAAGGTGCATTCAGATTAGTTTCCACACATGACTCTCTTGCCGAGCCTTTCTATAATACATATATTAAGCTTATAATAATAATAAAAATATAATATTAGTTTAATTTAAATAAATTATAATATTAATTATAATATTCGAATGATCTTTTATAAAATGTATCGCGATTTCTACTTTAACTTATTTCATTTTATTTTATATAATAGCATTCAAATTTATATTCTAAAATAATATTATATAACGTGAAAATTATATATATAATACACAATGTAATTCTTCATTTTAATTTAATAAAATAGTTTTCCTAATCTTACTTGCCATCATGTGTACCTAACAGAAAGTAGTAATAAGTGTCAATTCCATATACTCCACGAGAGAAAAAGTAAAAACTTTTAAAGAACTTGGCTTTAGATTGGATAAAAGTCCAAGAACTCGCGGGTCATTTGTTGGGAAATAATTAAATAATGGACTAAAGGTGAAAAGTGAACTTTAGTCACGAGTTAAAATTGTTAATCTATTAATTCACAATCACAATCTATTTTTTGTTTAATAAAAATTAAATCTTATATTACAATTTGGTTTTAAATTTATATTATATAAAAAATTGAAATAAGAAATACACTCCATAATCTATGAGATTATAGTATTTTCAAATCTGGAGTGAAAATAAAGTCCTATCTTGCCATCTATGTGTTTTTTCCCACGGCCACCTTTTCGTAGGTTAAAAATAAATTGAATTGAAAAATATCAATCTAAAATTTGTATAATGTAATATGAAATATGAAAACAATACATATAAGTATATAATAATATGCAACATAAAAACTTGGAAAACGGTCAACAATGATTGCCAGAATGTATCGAAATTACTCCTAGGCTTTTCCTTGTGTTGATCATAGTCAAATTTCCCCCCGAACATTTGCATTCCTAAAAGGGCGAATATGAGAATAAACAAGAAAAGTAGGAGTAAAAGGCTGAAAATAGATTTGATAGAGTTCATCAAGCTTGCCACTAGATTCCTCAAGGAAGACCAGTATCTGAGATAAATAAAATAAAATCACGTCAAATCGGAATTTAGAATATATCGATTTTTGGTTTTATATTGAAATAATAAATGTTTGACCAAAATATTGTGAAAGACATTAAGTAAGTTATCAAATAAAGATAATGACAATCTTAAAAAACAGTATATAATTAAGAAAAAGGTCTATGAATGAAAATTTTAAAAATATATTACTAATTTATATTACATAATTTTATCTTTTATATGCATAAACTAAAATTATTATTTAATAGATCAACTCAATTAAAATCTAGTGATCTATTATATTATTATTATTTGAATTCAATAATTATAAAAATATTTTACCGAGGTATATAAAAAAATATTTATTTAAAAATACAAAAACTAACCTGGTAGCCTTAAAAACTCTCAGCAACCTAACGCATCTTAACACACTGAGCCCAAGGGGTGGAATAACGTGAGTGCTGGTAAGAACGGCTTCAAGTATCGAACTACAAACAACGAAAAAATCGAATCGATTGAACAGGGACATGAAATACCCATTTAAACCTAAGCTGTACATTTTAAGAAGCATTTCCAGGGTAAAAAGACACAGGAAACATAAGTTGGCAGTATCTAGAATGATTATGTCATGATAAATAGATATTAATCGTCGCCAACTGACTCTAACCGGCCCGTGAAGGTTTTTGAAAAATTTTTTGGTCCGGAGTTCGTAAAATAATATTGTACAGTTTTCCGGCTCGGACCAGAATTTTTTATGAAGGAAAAATACATAAATTGGCCTAATTCGCAGCTATAAAAAAAAATCACAATTAGGCCCGAAAAAATGTAAGTTGACCGGCCCAGCTTAAAATCTTTTTGGGGCTTTAAGCCAAATCGACTTCTAATAGATAATTCATTTTTCTCTAAAAATATAACATGCTTTTTTCCTATCTATTTCAAAAATTTTTTTTTATAAATAGTTTCGCTTTCATAAAATATATATTATAAGATTTAACAAGGAGCTTACTTTGGAAGCCATCGAGCCACAGGGGTTGATTGTAATGCTCGGAAGCTAAAATGCAGGTGTTTAAAAATACCATAATTATCACAGTCCAATACATACCCTGTGATTTCACGACTTTCCTGCAAAAACGTCTAAATCTGTGATTGACTTTCTTGCATTGGGAACTTAAAAAAATGTAATTTATAGTTTTTTTTGTAATTATGACTTTGAAGTTTTTCATATTTTATGATCATAATAATATAATTTGTTTCCTAGAAAAGCCAAAATCAAAGGGTAATAAAACGCCTTATCTGTCAAAATAATGAAGGGTTTTGGAATCTGATTATTTTACGGTTGTCAAAAACTATTTAAAGGTGGACGGAGGATGAAGATATTTAAAAGAAATAAATTAATCAATCTTATTCTGGCAGACAACTTATCCTTTAACTAATGAAGATAATATTAAAAAAGTTTATTCAAACATTTCAGGTTTTCTAGACCGAACCTGGATCCAGGGCTTTTTTCTGATCCGCACGGAAAAACCTTTAAAACTTTGAAGCCGAATATATTTTCCAAGAGAAATGTTATTTTTTAAATAGTAAGAAATATGATTAAAAAAAATACAAAAATCAATTTTAAAAGTTTTATTATAATAAAATTTATATGAGATTATCGAAAGACATTTCAGAAGATATTTTAATTAGTAGATTGAATCAAATTTTAAATCTTTTTCATTTTAAATAAAATTAAAAATATTTTCTTATTAATTAAGTACAATTGATTTTTTATTGTTAGATAAAAATAAAATGAAATTGAATGTTATTATTATATGCGCACACTTGCAATTGAAAAATCATCCGAACCCGTATTGAACCTTCACCGCATCCAGGGTTCAGGTTCGACCTAAAAGGACCTGCCTAAACCAAACCCATTTTTTAACTCGAATTTAGACGCGTATAAAATCCGGAAAAATAATGTCGGGTCCAGAACCTATGAAAAATTTGTAAATTTCAAAATTTAATTACAATTTTTCTTGCCAAAAATTAAGTTGCACCAAATCCTCCTGGCTTCCTAGTTCTTTCATGTCGTTCAAATTTACTTTTATATATTTTATAAAATTGTATAAAAATATTATCACGATTATGTAAAATTATTGGGTATATAAATATGTTCTAGACATTCTTGTTTTGTTACCAAACTGTACAAAACCAATCAAACTTTTGAAAGTTTAAAAAAAAAGAAGTTTATATAATCTTACGTTCGGCTTCTTCTAGAGTCGTTTGCGTGGATAGGGATTTTTTGATTTCCTTACCCGGAGATTTTTTAAGTCCTGGTACAATGGTATGAGGCGTAGAATTAACTGGGTTATTGTTCATGTTATTTGAAATCTTTTCACCTAAATGGTAGATATATATTTTTTTTAAAAATATTAATAGTTCATTATAGTTGTAGTAACCTGTTTCGCTTGGCAATTGGCCATCCGGCAATTCGCTAACCTCCATATCTTCGGCTTGGGTTATCCAATCCAAATACCCTCTAAGATCTTCCTCGAAGGCTTGTTTTTCTCTCAACTTCTGAAATTCACCTCGTGCTTGAGCCTTTTCTCTCTCTTTTGAAAATTCTCTGCCGTGTCATATGATAGAGTATTTGTTAATAAACATAAGTACTAATTGTGAGAAATAACATTATTAATTATATAATATTACTATTTCAAAACATAGAAAAAATACTATTATTTATATATTTTTTTTTAAAAACCTATTTTTGTAAGATACTAATTTTAAATGGCTCGCATTCACACCAGTGGCGTCGCTGGCGAGGAGCAAACGCGTGCTCAGCAAGCTAATATTTGACCAAACTTTTTTAATGATATGCGATATCATGATTCACACATTGGCGTACGCAACGGGCCCCCCCCCCAAAGCCAATAAATGCAGATGCCGGATTATATTTTTCAAAAATATTATTGTTAATATTAATTTATATTTGTTAATATTTATTCCTATCTCATATATATATATATTTAATTACATTTATTTATTACATTCATCTATAAGTTATTTTATCAATCAATTTCGATTTCAAGTTTTCCTTGGCGTAATTTACCTATTATTTTCAAATTTTAGTGGCGTAATATTTATCTAAATTTCTAGTCAAATAATAATTATTTCTGAAACTCCTTGTCCAGCAGGGAGAAAGAAATTGCAAGCTTGTCCAACGAGATCGAGTCTCCGCCATCAAGCAGTAACAGCTATTATGGAGTTAGAAGAGCCGATTATTAATGCTATTACTGAAATATCACAATGGCTTGAAAGAAATATTTCCTCAGAAGCAAGAAAATTATTGGATTCAATACTTAATTTTTTTTCTCATTAGAATGTATTATTTAATTATACAACTATTTTATGTAATACTTTTCAAAAACATAACATTGACTTGATTAAGAAGATGAGAATAGCGGAGAGCATTTTATTAGAACTCAAGGAAATTAGAGCTATTGTTGTTGAAGAATTTCATATTTTATATGTTATTGTTGAGTCAAAAGCAGAGCTATACGTGTTTAATATTTGTCCCCCTCGACTTGTAGCAAGCAAGCTCATCGTCAAAACATTAATATAGGATCAGTAGAAGAGTATTATAAAACAAATGTCCCCTCTCCCAACCTTTTTCATATGGTGATAGAAAAAAAATAAATTTGTTAGATTTTTATCATTAAGATGTTAAAATATCTTATGATGCCTTATTATCTGAATAACTATGATTAAAAGATTAACTATGGTTGATACAGTCCCAAAAAATGCTATGGATGCTTTTTTTTTCAAACACAATTATACTCCCAATGTATTAATATGGTTACATATATATTAGCAGCTCTTTAGTAAACTAATGAGAGAACATTCTCTTTTTTAAGAAGAATAACAGAGCCTTGCAGAGGTACCATTTGCAGGACACGGCCCAGATTTTTTTTTAAATTTTTTCCGGCCCGGGTTTTTTTGAAAATAAAATTTTCAGGCCCGGCCCGAATTTTTTTAAAATAAATTATATTTATTTTTGATTTTTATAGCTAATAATGACGATTTCAAATATTTGGTTTTAAAATATACAGCTCGGCCCGGATATATTTAAAAAAATTAAAATACGGTCCGGCTCGGGGGCCGGGCCTGCAAGTCTGTGAAAAACATACCTATGAAATACAACATCTGAAAGTAGATTGAATGCTTAGAATCTTTTGAATATTCATAGGCATTTAACGCCAAGCAAGGATAGATAATTGAAAAATTAGCTCAAAACATACAAAATACAATTATTCCTAAGAAACTTTTTTGTGTATTAATTTATATTTCCAACATTTAAATTTTTTATACTTTATATATTTTAAAAGCTCAAAAAATTCAAATTTCAATTTTGGGTCATTTAAGTGATTCATATCGTGGGTTATATTCACTTTATATTTATAAATCACATTTATTTTATAGTTTTTCAATGCCGGTTTATATATAATTTTTTTAATTCACATTAGTTTAAAATTGTGTATTAGAAAAGTTATTAATCCTAATAAATTTATGCTTAGTATTTTTAATTAACAATAATATTTCTTAAAAAATTTTATTATCACCCCCCCCCCCCCCCCCAGACCAAATTCCTGCGTACGCGCCTGGATTCACATTAATCTTTATGTGAACTTTTAAAGATTGAAATAATATTATTACCCGCTCAAAACCCCGAGAACCAAATTGAGCACGAAAAAAGATCCGATTATAATTAGCGATATAAAATAAATCCATGGCCATTCGATGCCAACCGCGTCGTTTACCTTCAAATAAAGTCAAAAATAATAAAATAAAATTTGAAATATAGCCAGAGGAGCAAAACCTTAAAATATGATAAAAACTTCATATGAAATAAATAAATAGATACAAGTAACGTTTATATATCCATAATTAATGAAATAAACTTTCTTTCAACAAATTTATTCCAAAATTTATTACGAAATATAAAATGTTGGTCCAGCCCTCCATCGTTATACATTGGAAGACTGTTAACATGGCGAGTCCGAAATTATCGAAATTGGTTATTCCATAGTTGGGACCTATCCACCATTCTCTGCATATCTGGTTTATAAATAAATGATGATTAAATTTGCAAATATACTTAAATATTATTTGTTAATAGATTGGAGTATAAGTATAATATATTAACTTGTAATCTCTTAAGATTCGTTTTTATACCAATGTTTCTAGACTATTAAATTACGCGCTTATTTTATAACTTATATAAAGATAAAAAAATAAAAGAACTTTAAGATTACTATAGTTAGTTAGTTATACATTTTAATTGCTGTTAGATTCAACTTAATTTTTAAGACTTTATCAGTCAATAATGTCGCTCCCTTCGTTTTTGAGAAAAGTAATAATATATATTGTTCTAGACCAACGCATTAAATAGTTTATTTTCGAATTCATATAATTTTCGATAAAACGTAATCTTTAATATCGCTCATTAGCGAATTCTGAAAAAATAGGGTCGTCGTGCTCTTTCTTATCGTCTATTTTACATGTTCCAAAAAAAAACAATTGTATAGAGGTAACGATAAAATTGCGTTTTAACTCAGTTTGGTTGAGAAATGAAAATATGAATTGATAAATTTTGCTTTATTCAATCGGCCTTTCTAAACAAATATTCACTTCAAACTGAGGTATCAAAATTTTCAAAAGGTTTTATTAACTAAAAACGGTTAATAATCTGTCAATATTATAAGAAAGATTCTTAGACGTAATGAGAGTGTTTTAGACTACAAGCCCTTCCTTCTATGATTTTGAAAAAAAAAATTCTTTCGCCAGCCCATTGGTTGTTAAAATTTGAATATATTTTCCTACACTTTAAAATATTATATTTTAAAAGAGTATTAGTTTTTAATAAATATAAGCCTACCATACCCATTCTGCTCATATTAATTTAACACTCGCCCTTCGTTTGTTTAAAAAATATTTTCAATCGCCCACCTATCGTTAAATTTTTTTTTATCTTGCTCGCCCACGTCCATAGTATGAATGGGTGCAGGCCGTTGAAACCCTCAAATTTGACCATGAAATTTTAGAAAAAAATCACCCGGACACTAAAGCCGGGTTGAATCTTAAATATTTAAATGTGGAATAAGTAACCTAGTTACTTGTCAGTTATTTATTAAGATTTTTTTTATTATATTATAAGTAGATAATAACAAAATTATATGATTTCATAATTTACGAATTTCATTGTAAATTAAATTATTAAGTAAATTACGAATATTTAAAATTGTAACCCATCTTCTCTTCAGTTAATTGATAAAATTAAAAAATATAACAAATTTTGAATTTTCTTTATATAATATACGAATTAAAATAACTAATCAGAGAGATTCATCTATTAGATAAACGATAACCATTTTCTTTATTGCATTTTGGCTTTTTATAATTTTGATAATACCCTTATTTTAGGGAAATAATTAAAATTTTGGGAAAGCAATTTTGAATTGTCGAAATTTATATTATGGTTGGTATATCTTAACTGTACATCAAAGCATGATATTGCTGGGTGATTGTTTAATGTTGCAATTTTTTATTTGTTACTGATAAAATATACTTGATCTTTTATGATGATTCTTTTTGCCTACGGCACGATGAGGTTGGGGGGGGGGGAGAACTATTATTTTTTCCTAGTGTAAGGATATGATTTTAGCGTGTTTAGTATTTGGTTAATCATTAAAATTATTTTGATTTTGTGGTTGATTCTATGAAACGAGTGCTGTTAAATGGCTCGATTTGAGCCGATTTTTAAAATGGTAAACTCAATATTTTATTCAGAAAAATATTACGTAAGCCTGAAGATTTTGCTTATAGCACAAGTCTAGACATCTAATAGTGATATCTCAAAAGACGCTTAACAATGCTCTAGGAAATGTTGATTCTGAAAAATTATACTGAGTTATTATATAAAAAAAAATCAATATTTGTTATAATTTTTTATAAATCAACTGAAGATGGATTACAATTTTAATTAATTAATTTACAATAAAATTGACGAATTATGAGTAACAAAATATTAGAGCATATAAGGTTAGGGATCTTATGTAATTAAACCCTTGTATAATAAACGAATAATGAATATAATATTTTGTATTAAAGTTTTTATTTAAAACAATCTAAAAATTTACTTCATTTTTTTCAGGTTCACAGCTATAACCTTTTCCACAAGGTTCCATAATATCCCTGTTGGCCATATTTCCAGCTTTGTAAAAAAAAAATCAATACTAGAAGTATTCCTATTTATCAAATATAGATTAAGAAAATACCGCTAAATTTAAATACACATACTTTTAGTTCAAAAAAATCTTATATATATATATAATAATATCGCTTACATGTATCATTAATGTAACAAGTCTTGTGGAGGGTCCCTATAAAAAGTTCCAGTCCTATGATGGCATATATGATGATCACGAATATGACTAACAAAGCAATGTGCAACAAAGGCATCATTGCTCTAAGTATGGAATTTAACACGACCTGCAAACCTAATTTGTTTTTAAAATTGACACTTATCATTATTTTATGCTATGAATGACGAATGTGATATAAAATATAACATTGACAAGGATGACCATCAATTTATTAGATTTATTTCTATAATAGTAGCGGGAAAACAAAATCAAACAAAAAAATTGGTATTTTATGAATATTTAAAAACAAAAATCCTAAGCATATATAAAGAATGATTTTAAAATTTAAAACAAAACAAAAACTTCTTGTTATAGTGAATCAGCATTTTTGTCATCTAAGTTCAATTTATTTGTGTTTAAATTTCTCAAAAGTATTATACGAAAATGAGATGAACCATTCTTGAATGCCAAACTAATAGATATTTAATGAAGTTGAAAAATCACTCCATTTACATACTGCAAAATTGGCTTAACAGAATTTTAGCCGAAAACAATTGGCTTAAACTCGAGGTTTAACCCGAAAAACAACTCAACTTTTAGGATTGATTTGAAATTAACACATGCCTCAAAGTTTAACTACTTTTTTCGGCTGGTATCTTGAGTAAAATTAGCTGTTTTTGAGGTAGACTAAAAAACTTTGTCGTTGAATAGATTTAAAAAGTATATCTCATACATTAATAAAATATTAAATTTTTTTACTAGGTACACCGGACACCAATCGAAGTGGTCTTAAAACGCGAAACGCTCTAAGAGCCTTAACATCAAAGCCCTCTAGTTTAACCTTGGTGAGAATCGAACTTATAATCCTTTAAATATTATAAAATATATAATAACTATTTGTGTCTATATATAAAAACATCAAAAAAGTTCATATATTCTCCCCATGCTATATAATAAACAGTTTATTTATCTTTTGGAATTCTTTTTATACATTGACTTTTTCATTTCATTCCTTACTTTATTGCTTAATTGTTTGTGTTTTAAACAAATGTAATGCCTATTTTTTTAAAATTGGGCTAGTCTAAATTTGAACCTCGATGGGACAATTCGGGCAACCCATATTGAGATCTGCTCTTCTCGTTCTCTCCTCATAAAAAGTTAAATTATATTCTTTCAATTTTATGAAACAATTATTAATTTACCCAATAGCGACAATGATAAAATCGAGTATATTCCATCCATTTCTTAAATAAGCACCAGGATGGAAGAGGAAGCCGTAAGCGATTATTTTCATGAAAGCTTCCACGAGAAAAAACCCAAGAAACACGTATTCGATATATTCCTGTGTTCGAGGGAAATTAAATAAAATTATACATATAAAAAATGGGTAAATTTAAAGGACCATCTAACTATTATAGTTCCGATGTGGACTTGGGTTAATCTTAGTCTATATGAGATTTGGCTGAGATAAACGAGCCAACATCAAAACAAAATAATTATGTTTTACCCATTTACTAAAAAATAATAATTAGTTAACCCAATATCATCCTTAAAAATGGCACTCATAGAGCTTAAGTGAAGTTTCCTTATCATTTAAAAAGTTTAATATATAAATCTTGCATTAAAACTAATTATTATAATTTATAAGAGCAGTATTTTAACATCTTATGTGTTATTTTATATTTAGAAATATAGATAAATTCAATCATAGTTTAAAGAATTGTTTTACTTCAAGTTCTAACTATAATTTCTGTTAAAAATCATTTAAACTTAAATAACTATTTATAATACCCTATCTATTATTATTATTTTAATAAAAATTAAAGCAATAAAATAAAATTGATCCTTATTTTTTAACTAAATTTTCGTTTAATGGATTGGAGTCGCCTCGCGGATATGGTTTATAAATGGCCAACGCTAAACAATTCGCGAATATGAATAGAAGAATGAGGTATTCGAAGGGTCTAAAATTTAATTTTTTACAAAACAATTGAATTTAAAATAGCAAAAGAGTTAAGTATATTAAATAATTGGTATATACTTCATAAATATCAGGCCAGTAGAGTAAATACTAAAATAGACAACTCTACTCACAGTTTATTTGGGAATTTAAGGGGTCATTTCTAAAAACTCTAATATACTCACATTTAAAGCTATTTATAATTTTATATTAAAATTTCGTGAAATTTAAAACACGTTTAGAATTTTTTTTCTATCACGCTTATTATAATATTATCAAGGTTACATTATGGGGTCATTCCAGGTGAAATAGATCAGGTTTTGTGTACCTCTTTCAAATTGAATAAATTAGGAAAAACCGATAAAAATAAAGATTATTCAAAAAATATAAATTATGACTTATATTTAGTATCATTTGATAGCCCTTGAATCCCTTTCTTAAAAATTATTTAAAAAAAAAAATTGATATGTTATTGCATTTCCGGAAAAGGTAAAGATTAAATTTTTATTATGTACTTGAGCATAAATTTTATGTTTATTAAATCAATATAAATTTATATTGAAAATAATTAGTTTGGAATAACATTAGATCTCTATCATTTATATTTTTTGAGTAAACTTTACTTTTATCGGTTTTTCCGAATTAGGAAGGATGCCACTTGTTTAGCTTTAACCCACAAAATTTCAAATATGAGTTTGATCAATTTATCATGAAATGACCTGGGGTTAAAAAATGATTTCCAACAAAAAACAAGGATTGATGTAAGGCTTAGTAGCATTCAGCTGTCATAGCTCAACATGCCTAAATTTAATTTGAGAAAGTTCTTTCTAAAACGTGAGCTTGCGATGCACTGTTTGAATTTACATTTAAATAATATGAAATTACACTAATTAAGTTCAAATTTAAAAAAGAGAATTTTTGAAGTTGATTCTTCTAGAACGATAATTGCTCGCAGAGAAAAGTTAAATACAAAAGTTTTGTATATCGCATCTAATTCTATCTTTGCAAATTTCAAAGAAAATTATAGGTTCTTAATAATTTAATTATCGCTCTAATTGGCCTTAAGAAATTCTGACTATCCTAATAATTCGATTAAAATCTATAAATTTTTAAAATATTATTTTTTCAAAAGAAATTTAACTGCAAGTAAGTTTTTTTTTAAATAATAAAAATAATTATTTTACCGTAAATGCCATGCTCGTTTCTTTCTATGGATTATCACGCTTATTTTTTTTTTTCAAAGTTAATTTTTAAAAGGTTTGTAACTTCTTTATATATAAAAACATAGGATTTAAATCTTTTTAGCAATAAAAGATCAACAACAAAGCGGTTCAATCTTGTAAGCAAAAGGAAGCATGTGATCGTGGCGCGCGTACATCGACCTTATAGCTTAAAAAAACTTAAAACATTGATAAGCATTTATATAAGGATACTGATGAAAAGGCTAAAAATTTAAAAATTATACATATTTTGTTAAAAGCAACGGCATCCATATAACGAACATGGCATTGAAAGATTATACTAAGATTAAATAAATATTTTTTCAATATTATATTATTTAGTTATACAAACAAATAGATGGTTATTAATAAACATTACCTGGGCCGACATTAACAAAACAAAGGACCAGAATTTGATAATATAATCAGAGACCTGCGGAGGTACCATATGCACGAAAAAAAATTTCAAACCCACCAGGATTTTATAAATATATTACATATTTTTTAAATTTTTATAGCTAATAATGGCGATTTAAAATATTTGGTTTTAAAATATACGGCTCGACCCCGGAATTTCTTAAAAAAAAATTTAAGCCCGGTATGGCCCGTGCTGGTCTCTGATTATAATACATATTTGAAGAAAAATATTTTAAAAGCTAGAATAGTTGAGTAGTTAATTTATGACATTTGGCTGGCATTCGGCAATCTCAATAATGTTCCATTTGGAAAAAGAAGAGTATATATATGTTAAAGTATCGCGCTATAATGGTGACCTATTTTTTTTATGGCATCTTTAATTTTAAATGTTGATCTCGGAAGCATAGCTTGGTATTTTTTTTTTGATAATTTTATAAAAATAACCAACATAGAATCCATTTGCATCCAAAATATAAGCTTAGACCTTATTTACATCAATTTAATTGAATTGAAAAAAAAACAGTTATGCAGGTTTATGGCGTTTATGGAAAATCTAATACTCATAAAAGATGAATTTTATGATGATTCGAAGAAAAATACTACTGATTAAAGAGAGAGGCTCCTATACAGGGCCGTGCATTAGGGGAAGCGAGCGGGGCAGCCTTTCCCGAGTCGCCAAAATTAGACAATTTTAGGGCCTGTCAAATTTAGTAATTTTACTCAATTACTTTTAGCCTTTTGAAAAATAAGAATTTTTTGTATTTATTACATATAAAGCATTATTCTTCTCTTTTGTAAAAAAATCCATGTATGAATTATACAAAAAAGGTTTGGCATTTAACAAAAAATTTGATTTATATTTTAGTAAAAAAAAACTTCATTTAATTTTTTAAGTTAATTTAATTTTTTTATCAAAATTTGATATATTATTACACCACATTCGTCGAATTAAGAATAGTGGTTTTCATAATCTCATTTCCCTGGAAATCGAATTCAAGATGAAATTATTAATTTAATAGGAGATAAAATCGTAAAAAAAATTGTTGATGCTATTAAAAGCGCAATATATTTTTCCGTAATATTAGACTGCACACCGGACATAATCCACAAGAAATAACTAACCGTAGTAGAACTTAACAACAACTCTTAAAATAAATGAGCGATTTGTTGGCTTTCTAAAAATTAATTCCAGTACTAGCCAGGTCTTGGTAGAAGCATTTTTATCATCATCAAAAAAAATCAAATGTTATAAAGGGGTTTAAACTCGAATATTACAAATAAATAGTAGATCACTTTTTATGCCTTGTGATAGGTAGAGCTTAAATCTGCTACTTGGTGACATGGCACGATCATCCTTAATCGTAAAATCATTTTTTAGCGTTGCCCAACGAATATATATTCTCCTTTTTTGTTTCGACTCAGCGATGGCAAATTTTGAAAGATCATATCAATAATTTTACTTTAAACCAGCTATCTGAAGCATGATGCGAGTATAAGATGTGGAGTGTAAAGACCATTAGAAATCAGGTTGATGATAATTACGATGGACTAATAGACATATCCGAAAAAACTAATAACTCTAAATGCTGCACAGAAGCCATTTCATTGGCTAAAGAATTATAACAATTTTTATTTTTGGTAACTCTTGTCATCTGGTTTGATATTCTAACCCAGGTGAATTTAGTAAGTAAGGTCATGCAAAGTGACATTATTGAATTGGAAAGAGTTATTACACTTATAGAAAGTATGCATGTTATTTAGATCATTTTAAGGAAAATCGCCTAGCTTGCATAGGAATCGGAAATGAGTTTAAAAGAGCAGTGCTTTTCTTCAATAACATTCGTAGACGGAAAGTTAAAAACAATTTTCTTAAGAAGAAGATGACACGCCTAAACCTATACATGATCCTCAAAAAGAATATGAGATTGAATTTTTTAATGAATTACTAGATCAAGAGAGAAATTCGTTAAAGGAACGTTTCAGTTAAAGATCCTTACTGATCATTTTGGAATTGATAAATGCGCCTGAAAAAGAGCTAAAGGAAAAATGCTGTCAATTAAATATTTTATTCACAGATTAGGATACCTTAAAATGCGATATTAATCCGTAACTACTAATTAAAATAAAATTTTTAGTGAATATATTAAGCAAGAATCCCATAAAAACTTCATGTCTTACCAAATATATCAATTGTATTAAAGATTACTTTAACCATCCCAACTACCGTGACATCCGCAGAACGCAGCTTCTTGCTCAAATTAATGAAAACAAACCTACGATCTTGATCGACTCATAATTTGATTATACTGAAATAATATCCTCTTGCACATTAAAAGGCGAGGAGAATAAATAAAATTGTAATTAATAGCAGAGACCTGCAGAGACCATTTGTACGGCCCTATCCGAATTTTTTTTCAAAATTTTTTTCGAGCCAGCTTTTTTTAAAATATTTTATTTTTGATTTTTATAGCTAATAATGGCGATTTCAAATATTTGGGTTTAAAAATACCCGGGGCGGGCCTATGTGCGTTACTCATTTATGATTAAAATTTAATAGAATATATATGCTTTTAGTTCTTATTGCGAGAAATTATCAAAAAAGCTTAGGTAAATTATGTGTTTTTCGCCAAAGTATATTTTGGCTTGGGCTGCCAAAAGTCTCGGCACATTCGAGAAAGTTAGTTAGTTTTTTTAAAAATAGAAAATATTGATATCTTTATGCTATTGATACCAATATAGACGGTAAATAAATATCGGAAGAATTTTTTTTAGTAATATCGGAAAATATCGGATCGGTGAAAATTTGTGGATCACTACAGCCCTAGTTATACTTTTTGCTACAAGAAAAAATTTTAAAAATATCTGACGAGCGCTCATGGTGAGCAATTTTATTAGCAAAGAAAAATTAATAAGTGATAATTAAGTACTCTAAGAGGATGATAATATTGGAAAAAATTACTAAAATATTTAAAGAAAATAAACGAAATGTAAATGGTCATTTCAGTTTTGTAAAGTAGCGATTAAGAATTTTGTGAGTATTTGTCGATCAGGATAACGTTTAATATGGCCCAGATATATTACAACAGACAATTTTATTGTACATTATAACTTATGAACATCTCATAAGAATACAAAACCCATGTTACATAGAATAAATCAATATACAATTTTCCAAAGATGGTTATATATTTTACTTTCATAAAGCGATATCATAAGTTACAACTGTAGGCTGAAAGAAAAACTTAGGACAGTTGCTTATCGATTTTAAAAAAAAGGAATCAGCTGGACATGGGGTTACACCTTGACTATATAAAGGCTGCCCACTCAGAAAGTTTATAGTCTTTTTAGAAATTTTTATTTTTGATTATTTTATTAAAATGAGTTTATACATTTTATTTAATTTTATTTAATATATAATTTGATTTTTTAAAACACATTTTTTTAGAGAGCAAAAAAAAATAGACCGAAAATATACCTATAAATGAGGCAGACCCAAAAGAAATTATCGCTTACATTTTATGATATATATTTTAGATTAGCATTAACTTAATGCTATTAAGTTAAAAATAAAAAAGTTATTTCCCCGTGAGTTTAAGAAAGTGTAATGATAAGGATTAAGGGTATGGGGAGGGGGGGGCATGAATCATTTAAAAATTTAAATAAAATTATAAATTAAAATTGAACTCAGGTAAAAAATGTTAAAAGGCCTGAAAATTTTATTAATGATAAATCAGGACGAAAAAAGAATTGAAACTCAAAAGCCTAAAAATTAAAATGGACAAACAAACCAACTATATTATGAAAGAAAAAAAAATATACAAGACCATTTTATTTCCCAAGCAATGACATTAATACTAATCTAAAATGGCGATTCAATTTATTAAACGTGTACACACGTTGAAGTCAGTTGAAATCAAAGTCATTGGTGTAAGTAGACGCCATTGAAAGGCATTTCGTCCAAATGTCTTTCAATAGTGAACTTCAATTATGTACATTTTTAAATGCATTTTAATGAATGAATCGTCATTCTAAGTTAGTATTAAATGTCATTGTTCCTAAGACTAATTTTTTTTAACAATCAAACTTTTATTTTTCTTATTTAACACTTAGCATTGAAATATGAACAAAATAATGTTTTAAAAATTGATAACTATTTATTGGTCACCCTTCTTAGGTTTTTTTAAAAATAAATTTTGGCATATGGTGATGATATTAAAAGTGAATAAGATTTCCTATTTTTTTTGGGACGCGATGCAGAATTAGGATTTTGTTTTGTTTATAATAATTTAGTCTGCGAAAAATATGATTGGATGTTTTGTATTATTATTTTATTTTGGGCAATTTTTTTTATCAATTAAGCGTTGAGAAAAATTTAACAGGGCTTCAAGTATTCATTAAAGGTATACAGATACAAAAATAAAATTATAATCATCGAATCCCATTTAATTAACAATTATTTATACATAGATACGAATACGATCAACATAAGACATCGAATACAAAAAATTATTTTAAATGACATTTATAAATACTGAGATATATTTAATGTAAATTTAAAGAATTTTTAAAAACTAGCATGCATCTTAATAATTACATGATTACTGGCTACATGTATTTTCTCAAATTCATAGTCAATTTTATTAGCCTGCAAAAAATAACTGCTTAATGAAATCTTTTAATCCCTTCTTTGCTCACAAATTAAACAGTTTAAGTTTATTGATGTCTGGGTATGTATATTATAATTATTACATCAAAATAGTAATAATATAATGTTATTTTTTAAAATTATTTTAAAAAATGATAAAATCCATGAAATATGAATATGAAATGATGGAGGATATGAATGAGAATTGTAACATTTTTAAAATTAATATAGTAAATATTATGTTATAGTATAGAACGTATATAAAAGGATCGATATTATTCCCTTACTTTTTTATTTCAAAACAATAACTAATTTTATTTTAAAAAAATATTATTTGTAGATGCATTTTTGAATAAATATATCATATAAGAAGAAGATATAATTAAACTGGGGGTATTAAAAGATTTTTCATTTATTAAGATGAGAAGTTAAGTTAGTCAAATATAAATAGACTTAGTATAAAAAGCTTAAGTTTTTAAGACGTATGATCGAGGTAATAGAGCTCATACATTGAAACTGATCCGGCTAGGAGAAATTTTTTTATGTTTAAGTTCGACTCAAAAAAAAATATAGCATATGGGAAATTTTAAGATTTATTAATTTTTAGAATGCCAAAGGAAAAATATTAATTTTATATTGAAGAATAAGTATGCAAGAAAAATAGTTATTTTTATTTATGTCGGTCCGGTCCTAGATAACCTACATTTATTGTAATAGGTATGGAGCCCTATTGAAAAGCAGGTTCACCAAGAACCTGGGTGGAATTCTGACAAAAGATTTTAATTTCCAAAATATATAACTAAATTTTTTTTTCAGGTCATGGGTTACTTTATTTGAATATTTACTGATATGGATATTTATTTTACATTTTTTAAAAATCATATAATAATAAAAATTTTATTTTTTAGATGAATCTGAAAAAAATGAAATTTTTTTTGAAATAAAGATATCTGTTAAATTAGTTTTATTTTACAAAATATCATAAGGCCTTCTTTTCTCCCTTTAAAGTACAACTTTTTTTAATGAGTAAAAAAAATTTTAAAATAAATTTTCTATTTATATACTCCTTAGATGGATTTATAAAAAATAATGATCCCATATAGCATCCATGGGCGCCTTAATACAAAAATTATGTCCTTAAGAATAAAAATGCTGGCATTACAATAAATATTGTCTAATTCTATGTTTAATCCACTAATATAGAAGGTATATCATAAAACTAAAAGAAATAGAACGCTTATTAATTGGCCAAAATAGGAACATAAAAATGAGGAAAAGTTATTAAATCATTAAGAATTCTTAGTCGTTATAAAATAATATGCAAGTTGATGATGTCAAATTAGCTCACAGGATTTTAAAGGGTAAACAAAAAATAAATAGTAGTTTTATATTTAGAAGATAATTGGTTTAATTTAAATGATGAAAATTTTGAAAAGATGTAAGAATAAGAATATAAAATTATAATAAATAAGCCAATCACGTAATTCTTATTTTTTCAAAAAATATATAAAACATACAATATTATGTATTAGGGAATATAACCCTAACAAAAAGAATTAATCATAAAATTTTATTATAAACTTCCACTCTACGACGGATATACATAGTCTACGGATCGGGTTTTTGAGCGTCAAGCAAAACAGAGCTCGGACTGGTCTATTATTAGGAGGCGCTTTGGTACGAGCCCGTCTTTTGGACATGGTGTTGGCTGCTATGAGCGCTGCTTGCCAGCTATTACTAAGCGGTTTGACTGCAGGTCCTGTGCCAGTTTGAGGTGAAAGACTATCAGTAGTATTTGGCTGTTGCCTGCGGGTAGTGATGGAATATGTGGAAGAAGGCGGACCGGGAAAATTGGTACGAGGGGAGAAAGCGGCCCCACTGTAAGCTGAGAGTATAAGTTAAAAAATAATAATTTTTAATCAATGGAATTGTATTTCATTAGGTTCGTTTCATGTGATATAATTTAAATTTAATGTTCATTTTGTAGATTGTAAACTTCTGATTCGTTTAGGGTATCCTTCTTGTTAACTAATTACAATTAGAGCAATTTAATTATCGAAGGCCTTATATTCCTATAAAGAATTTAATTTTGTTTGATATGAATTACTTTAGCTTACTCTAATACGACTTAGCCAAGCCTTTATTCCAAGAAATTAATTTAGCCTTCTAAGTTCTCAACTTAAAGATTGAGACCAATTTTTTAGGATAAATTAGGCTATGCAGTTTTAGGGTCAAGATTATGCGATTAAACATCACTAATATGAATATAAAACTTGACAAAATCGTAGATTTTTGTGAAGATTCATGTTAGGTTGCAAATATTTAATTCCCTCTAGTATGCCAACACGAAAAACATATTTGACGTTAGCCAACGCGCACTTCGATTAGATAATGACAAAGAAAAAATTAAATTGAAGTTGCAAATACTCTGAATGAAAAGTATAAGTATTAGTGTTGTATGTGCTAAGTTTCATTTCACTAGCGATTTTTAAAAAAATTCAGATCTTAACAATTTGTATTTATAAGTTATAAATTATTATAATTATGTCATAGTATTTTTATATATATTAATGGATAATTTATTTGGTTTACTGAGATTTTTAACTGAATAAATAATGCATCCAAGACAATTTTTTTATTAATATTGTCATAGTCTGATCTGGTTTAGAAGTAAAACAAATTTTATATATTTTTATTGAATGCAGAACAAAAATGTCTAAACAAAAAGATAACGGAACAGAAATACCCTTTAATCATAAAAGGGATTTCAAAAATTGTAGCGTGTGGCTATTCTAACTTTGAGATATAAAATATAAATGTGGACTTGTTTTATCCGGTATATTACTTCGCTTTATATTATAAATTTATTTCAGAGGGTCGATATTGCCGATTACTTTTAATATTTACTGATAAAACTAATCCAAACTATTTAAAAATTATAATTCTTTTATATGACAAACAAACCAAAAATTATATTGAATTAATTTATTTGATTGGTATAATAAATAATTTAGGCTGCGAATTAGATAACGATGTCAACTTTTTTATGATATTAGGAATTAGAGATCTGCAAAACCCAACCCGTTAAGAATTTTGCACAAGTTGTCCGGCCTAGCCCAAAACCCTTATCGCCAGGCCCGACCCATTATATTTTTTTCAAAAATTTGCTGAGCCCATCCGTTATAAAATAAATTTTAAATTTGGCCGACCCTTAAAAAATATAGGAAGCCAGGTCCGACCTGTTAGCGTTTTACTAAAAGTCGGCTCCGGCCAGTTAAATTTTTTTTGTACGAATTTCGGTCCATCGCATTTTTAATATTTCTAATTTTTTCCCAATGTTAATCTTATATTTCCTTTCTATGGCTATCTGTTTCTACAATGGGCGTTTTATATATTAGTTGTGTTTGCATCGGTATTGTGCACGCATCATATCATAAATTGTTTAATTTTGGGGGAATATAATTGTATTTTTAAATAGTATTAACAAAATGAAAATATTAGCTAGTAAAAAAAAATATATCAAAATTTTAATGCCCATGTTGGCATATTATTTTTTTTTACAAAAAATCAGATTTGAGAGGCTCTGCTTGATATTTTATGCATAAATTAACCGGCCCAATTCGAAATTTTTTATGCATGAATCGCGCGGCCCGGACAGTTATAGTTTTTGTCCGGCCAGGCCCTTTTTACATTAATCACAATTCTACCAAAAAAATGGGTATTAAAAATGTACATCTAAAGCCATATCAAAAATATTTATTAAATCCGGAGCCTTTCTTGTTATTTTATTTTATTAATTCTTTGTAAAAATTCAAGCCCGTGAGATGGCGTATTTTAACCAAATGAATGAATTAAATGTTAAGTAACAGTCGAAAATTAAATTAGTATTAACATTATTTTGGATTTGTTTTTTATATATAAAAAATATTTTTCTAGATTGATGTGATATCAGAAAATGACATGGATAAAAATTTAAAGTATACCTGCCAACATCATAATTGGTATCGGCATACCCCCGATTTATTTATTAGCATCAGAAATCTGCATGGCCTGGCTCCAGCTAAAAAAAACTGGATAGGGCAACAGACGCAAAATATTTTTTTAGCTTGACTAGGTTAAAAAAAATTTAGGCCAAAATTTTTATCTTTAAATCTTGAATAATGCAAATTTAGATTTTTCCTTCAAAAAAATGGCCAGGCTAAAATATATAGGGTCAAACAGGCTGTGCAAAATATATTTTTTTTCTTTCTTTCTCGGGACTTAAATTATATTAAATATGTTGAAAGAAAAAAAGGCACTAGTTTGCGCAAGGTGATTATTATAATTTGTTCATCAAAAACCATTCATAATTATGTAGTGAGGATTACTTCCTTGATGCCACTATGAATACTATTTCAATATCACCCATTTATAAATAATATTCTCTTATAATCCATACTAACTCTTCTTTTATATTTAGTTTTGGCTATTTTTTTTGTATTGCCTTTAAAAGCAATGATTATAAAGTTATTAAATTCTTGCATAAAGGATATAAATACTACTACTTTTATTGAGTTTTATTCAAATATTCGAATATTAAATAATAAAATTTAAAATGAGTAATAAATGTTTATAATGATAATCATTATAATCCTCATCTTTGTGAATTTAAATCTTTGGACGTAATTAAATATTAAAAATATATAAATATTATTATCGATTTAATCATTACAAATATATATAATTGTCCAAATTCAAGTTTTATAAATTTGACTGGCGATGCATACTAATTGGAGCGTATGTGCGAGCGATTGAGAGTGTCAATGTTAATTCATAAATGGTTCGGCACAAACTAAGATGCAGCATTCAATCTTTAAAAAACTTTAATATTACCCAAAGCAAAATAAATAAAATGGAATTAAGCGACAAGTCGTAATATGTGTTATTAAATTCATGATTAAATCACCGTTAAGTCCTATTGGGTGAAACACGTCTGACATGTCCATCCTAATGGCATGTTTGGCCTTCTCTATATAGGAATTTAAGAAGAGGTTTAAATGATAGTTTCTAAACTACTAATATTGTAAATTACTATTTTTAATTGATTCAATAAGTAATAATATCTCAAAGGGCATAGTTCCAAGTCAACAAATCGCATATAATGTCCCTCCCCTAAATTACGTAAAATAAGGTTTATCGTCAGAGATGCGCCGATACCTAACTTTTTACCCATACCATACCACTACTCACTGGTTGGTATCACATTTATTACTGTAAAAAAATTTTTTTGAAAGTTTATTTAATGATTTTATAACATAAATTTTGGTCTAAATACACGAGTAGCAGAAAAATTTTGTATAAAGAATTAATTTAAAAAAGAATTAACAAAATAGTTTTACATGTATATTTAGATACTTTTCATATTGTAAAATATATTTTTTTAATAATATAAATTGTCGCGATTTAAGTTCTTGGAACCTTTGACGATTCAAAGTATCATCATATGTAAGTATCTCTGATATCATATCACTAAAAATATTTTAAGCATGGTAATTGATTTGGGTCTGCTGAGCACCTTCTCCTCTCCCAAACCCCTATTAATTCATCTGGCATGATCCGGATTTTTTAAAATTAAAGATAAAGCAATTAATACGGAGTATATATAACAAATTTTAAAAAAATTTATTAAAAATTATTTAAATAAAAGTGGTGTAACTATTTAATTTAGAATAGAATCCCCATTTTTATAAAATCTAATTAATAGCTAGATAAGGCCGGGAAAGAAGGGAGGGAGGGATGTGGGGAGGGAGGAAGGAAGGAATACCATGTTAAAAAAAAATACTAATTAAGGTTTTATTTTTCAAATATTTATAAAATATATAGGGAGGGATTTTTCCTTAAAAAGTTTTTAATGATAATTATATCATTTTGAAATTTATACAAATTTAGCTAATTAAACAAAATGTACTTTTATTGGTTATCAGATAAAACATAAGAACTTAAGAACAAAGGATCTAATAGAAAGAGGGAATTAAATTCCTTTATGTGAGAGTTTTTGTGGTATATTTTGAAAATTCCCAAAGTGTTGTAGTTAAGTTGAGTGTGGTAAATTTCGATTTTTAAAAAAAATCGTGGTCGTCGACTAATCAATGTGGTAGACCTGTTGCTAATAAGCAGTATTTTTAACAAAACTAATTCAAGGTTATTTTTATTGGATCAATTTCCAGGAATCTCTATTTCTTCGACATAGAAATAGAGATTCCAGGACTTTGCTAGAAAAGGAGTGGGGGGCACAACAAGGTGGGGTTTTCCTAAATTTTATTGGAGATATTTAGGTCCACTTACTGTATGCCTTTGACTATATTAGATTTTTATAAAAGTAATTTTGGGTTTTCACTTTTTTTTCTAAAAATTTTGAAATATAGTCATCAAGTTATTAACTTTTACTGATTTTTCTTTCAAATTCTTCCTTATAGTGATATATTGTATCATTTTTGGGGGAGATGGATGCGGGGAATTTTTACTAGCAAAAAATGATTTTACAATAACAGGCAAATTTGTGATGGGATATTCCTCCCCCTTGGTTACGTACTGTAAAAATTGACCATTCTTAATTAACACATTATATTTACATGCGTTTTTGGTGTTATCAAATTATTATATGATTACTTTTATTTACTTTCTTTTTCTCGCCATGTCCCAATTTTATTAAATCAACGTAAAATCTGTGGCGTAATTGGAGGAAAAACAGAAAGAGTCACTTTCGCAGTCAACAAGCCTAAATTTAATTGGATAAAAGCCTAAAATATTTTTTTTGAGAAATTATAACTCAAATAAGTCTGTATTTAGCATGCCATAAATAAAATAACGGTAGGGACGTCATTGCCTAAATTTATTTAAAAATCT